CGGTGCTTCTGATCGCGGTATATGGTAAGAGGCCTCCAATTTGAGATTATATTTAATAGGCTGAACAGCTGTGATTTCACCTAATTTGGCAACCTGCTCGGGTTTAACGGCGCGCAGAAAATCTCGATAGCTCGCGAAATTTTCCACGTTTTTCCGATAAAACCAAACGGCTCCTCGCTTCAATGCGGAATCAATCTCGATGAAATTTTTCGCGTCCGGCAATTGTATACGCAACCTTTTGGATTTTACCCTACTGTTGTTAGCCCTACGTTTAACCGAATGGTGGTTTGGAACAGTCGTGGAAGAGGTGGCTGTGAAAAAATGTGTAAAAACAATTTGTACGTCGAAAATATCGAAATATACAAACAAAAAAACTTACCTTGTGCAGCACCAGTAAAATGTACATCAGCCATTGTTATTCAATTTTAAATTAAAAAAAAAAAAAAAAAATAAATACTAGTACTTGTATACGTTTAACTGAATATTTTTAAGCAATATGTTAGCGAGCCGCTAATAACGCTTAGTCAAAGAGTGAATATAATCATTATTGATGTCTTTATAAATACGGAATGTTACTGTATTATCCGCTGCATCAGTGGTGGTGGTGCGCGGTCATTAATCGCACAAGTACATCGTATATCGCGAGCATAATGACCAAAGTATTTCAAGTGGTCTGAGAAAAAATATTCAGGTTTCTACATGTTATACAGCACTTGTTACATTTTTATAAACGTCACCCAAGACAATTAATTGATAAATTTGTAAATTTGTCATTTGTAATGGCGTGAAAACATTCAGTCTTAAAGTGAAATGATTACACATATACGTCATTAGGATTTAAAACAGATGCTTTTGTAAAAATTATGACCGTCTGCCGTCTCTAATGCGTTGACGGATGAAGAATGCAATCCTTCCAGTCGAAGCTATTATTTTATTAAAAATAATTTATTACAGTTGTTAAATACGGTAATAATTTATAACAATTGGGGGGATACCAGTAATAATTCAGACAAAATATATATGTACGACATTAATCGATAAGTATAATACAGATTATAATAATATTATAAACATTATAATATATATGTTCCAGTGATTACGTCGTCGTCGTCGGCGGCGGCGGCGGTAGTGTTTATTTAAGAATGTGTTTTGCCATAAGAAAACTTGAAAAGTCGTCATTAGTATATATTGTCTACAAAAAAAAATATTGATTTATTATTCACTATACGAATAACNTATAATCGTAATTGATGAGCGAGGAGTTGTGTTAAAAACCAAAGACTCTAAAAGAAAGGAAAATTGGTGGCTTTCGTCAATTTGACGAAGTTGTCGTATAAATACGATAATCAAAAAGCTGACTTGGAAAATTCCAAGTATAAATTCAATATTAAGATTATAGACACTTTTTATGTAATATAAATAAGATACAGTTCAAAAATATAATAAAATTTACTAAATTAATACGATTGAGAGTATTAAAAAGTGTTAATTATACAACTGACAAACATGATAAACAAGCATTATATAAATTGAAATGTGAATACAATATCTTCTTTTTCTTCCTCGCCTTAATGCCAGATACTTAGGGTCGGCCACACTTATCCTAAACTTTCATTTGACACGATCTCCCACATCAGCTGTCCTCTTATCGCATTCAATAACATCTCTCCATCCCTTTTTTAGTCTTCCTCTACCTCTTCTTCCTTCAACATTCTTTCTACAACTGTTCTTACGGCTTCCGAATCTTTTTTTGTCGTAACATGACCAAACCATCTAAGTCTATTCTCATCTCTGTTACTTTCACTCTCTACTCTAATTTCTTATCAACCGCCCAACAGTCTGAACCATACATCATAGCTGGCCTCACTACAGTCTTGTAGAATATAACTTTTAGCCTTATTGGAATTATTTTATCGCATAAGACGCCAGAAGTTTCTCTCCGCTTCAACCACCCGTACTTAATTATGTGTCTTACATCCTCGTCAATACCACCACACTTTTACACAACTGACCCTAAATACTTAAAACCTAAATACTTAAAAAATCGTCACCAAATAACATGCACCACGGCACCTCTCCTTGTGTTTCTCTAGTAATTTCATCCATCATTATAGAAAATAAGTAAGGGCTTGAAGCAGAACCTTGGTGCACTCCTACTCTTACCCGAAAACCTTTCAAATGGCAACCCTATTTCTTTTTTACACCATTAAATTTACTTATTAAAAAAAAAATGTTTTGTAAAAAAATTTTATTTTATTTAAGGGGTAATATCCACCAAATTCTAAAAAAAATAAGGCTTTTTTCATGATTTTTTTTAAAGGAAATTTGAGATGTAAGGTATATAAATAATATATCATTGGATTCAGCAACTCTTGGAAAATAGAAAAAAAATTTTTATTGTTATTTTTTTACAAAATGGCGGCTGTGCAGCGATTGCCGTGAACCGCTTTTTTAAAAAATTCTTCCGCGGCGAACAGTAGAAGTCGTGCCCAATTCCACCTATAACAAAAAAAAAATTTTTTTCATTTTCTACATGAGTGTCGCTAGTGAAGTATACATGATTATATTTTTTAAATTTTTTTTCGCAAAATGGCGATCTATAAATTACGATCATGTATCTTCTCGTTAACTGTTCCCATATGTAGATTATTTAATCGTTCTTTAATTGTTGGCACTCTCCCCTCCNTGGTTTGAAAATTTTTTTTTTTTTTAACAAAAAAAATCGATTTTAATTGTTTATAACTTTTTTTGTTGTTAACAATCGCTAAAATCGTGTGTACTTCATTAGATAATTTAATGAAGAAGCTACAGTTAAAATTTCACGTCAATCGGATGTAAACTTTTTTAGTTCTACTGCTCGCCGATTTTGAAGACATGGTTTTGAGAAAAACGCGTTTAAAGTTTAAAAATGCTATAAATCTTAAGAATCGCAATAATATAGTCCTTAATAATTTTTTTACCTTCAATAAGCTATCCCTGCACCGTAAAGTTGTCCTTCCTGGTCCTTATTTTCCTCTTCTTCCTTTTTTGCCAGTGTGCCAACCAATCAAAGTAACTAATCTAAACAAAGATGAAAATCCCCTCTTACGCCAAGATCCATCGTCTGACACCGTAAGACCGCCTTCTTCACCTCGTTCAATAGAACGTTCTTTTTCTTCAATAGCTGATTTTTTCATAATTTCTTAAAATAAGTAAGGGCTTGAAACAGAACCTTGGTGCACTCCTACTCTTACCCAGAAACTATCTGTTACTTCTCCTACGCTTTTTAACGTAGTACAAGTGCCATTAACATATCCTCTGTCATATTAATGTACCTTTTCGGGACTCCTTTTCTCATTAATGCCTACTTTAAAACCTCTCTCGGTACTCTATCATACGCTTTCTCCAAATCTATAAATACCCTTCACAGCTTTTTCTTCTTTTCCCTAAACTTTTTTATTAGTTGCCTCACACAAAAAATGTCTCCATTGTTGACTTACCAGGCATAAATCCAAACTGGTTTTTTGATACCAATGTCTCAATTCTTATTCTCTTATCTATTACCTTTTCCCAAATTTTAATACTATGACTCATAAGCTTTATGCCTCTATAATTTCCACACTCCTGTATGTCATCTTTATCTTTAAATATCGGCACTATAATACTGTTTTTCTATTCATTTGGATTTTTCCCTTCTAATAAGATTTTATATAAAAGTTCCTTCGACCACCTTATGCCAACACCGCCTAATATTTTCCATACTTCTACTGGCACTTTCATCTGGTCCTACTGCTTTATTCTTTTTCATTAATGCCACAGCTTCTCATACTTCTTTTTCACTAATTAAATTAACCAGTTCCTCATTCCACAAGATATCCTCTACTGTCTCTTTTGGGTACTACTCATTCAATAATTTTTCAAAATACTCTTTCCACCTTTTTTCTCACCATCATCACTCGAGAGTACCTAATTATCAATACTAAAGTAATAAAATGTTATCAAAAAAAATTTGATTTTGGTGAAGTAGCCAATGGTATATTAAAATCACCCAACAATATAAGGTCTGATAATGAAAAATCGTATTGTATATTATTAACGGTATTAAAATATTCTTCAAATATGTCTAGGGTTGAGCGATTTGGTATATAAACACAACTAATTATAATATTTTTTTGACCAACTCTAATTAAAGTTAAGATAATTTCTAACTTTAAAGTGCTAATTTTTGTAAGTTTCGAGGAAAATTTATCATTTACAGCAACAAGTACTCCACCACCTCTAGATAAGTAACTAGTATGAATTTACATAATTTGTGAGCCATGTTTCAGTAAAGCCAAAAACATCGAAAGATAACAACGGAATATATAAATTTAATTTAGTGTTTATGCCGCGAACGTTTTGATAATATATTGATAAATTAAATGGAGAGTAATTTAGTTTTTTGAATTATAAATAATAATTAGGTTACCTTTAATATATTTAATTATAATATTTTGTTCACCATTGTTACAACGAGTTTCGAGTTCTTGCCGTAGTTTTGACATTTGTTCACACTGTTTGACAGTACAATCTAAAATCGAATTTCATTAAATTTATTTGCAGATCGGATTTTAGATTGCACTCGTAAAATGTCAAATACATTTTTAGTATCGTTGAATGTGATTTTCAATGGACGAATACGAGTAGAAGGGTTGCCCAAGCAAAAACATCTAACAGGTTCAATTTTTAGTTCCACTATATTAAGTTTTACTGTGCTCATTGAATGATTGAATTAACTTATTCTGCGTTGTTTTCATCTCACTCAAGGTTTTTGAATGATTTTTAATAATTTATAGCGTATATGAAAATACGTATATATTTAAAGTATAATTAAGATACCGTTTACCGACCGTTAAAGTCTCCAAAAGCTAAAAAAAAAACAGCTGATGCTTTGTAGTATGAATCGATGTGATAAGAATAAAGAAAGATGGTAACAAACTTGTATCTGTGTAGAGAATTAGTTCTATAATGAAAACTTTAGCAAACTTGAAAAAAAGATTAGTTTAACTCTTTGAAAACATCAAAATTTGCTGTATGTAGGTAAGGGATTGAGGTAGAATGCTCAATAATAATAAATTAACGATATAACTGTGAAAAATTCAATAAGTATTGTAGAGCTAAGTTACACTTTAAATTATTGATAAGCTGTTTTTTATTTTTTGTATATTGAGTGCCCGACGCTTTTTTTCACAATAATACTAGTATTTTTCGTTCATTATTGTTTTAAGCTTATTTTAAAAATTATTTTAAACTTTTTAGTTCGATGTGCTTTAAAAACAAGTTTTTTAGTTTTTTGAACTATATTTATTTTTTATAAATNAACAAGTTTTTTAGTTTTTTGAACTATATTTATTTTTTATAAATCACAGTAAATATTCGGTTTATTGTTAGGAAAAAATTCTATAGGTAGACTTAAGAGTAACTTTCGAAAGTTATTTTTTTCTATTCAATGGAGAATTCTCTGATTAAATTTCGTCCATAACGAGTTTGTATTATTACTTTTTGAGTTAATATAATTTTAAGTTATAAGTTATATATTAACAAATAATTGCATACCACTTACTATGATGCTTGAGGACAAGTCATCAACGGGTGGTCCTGAGGTCGCTAATCTTTTTAAAGAATTTTTCAGTTCAGTTTATTCTACAAAAAAATTAAATACTATTGAATGTCTTGATTACTCAAAAACCTATGCAGATATATGTCATCCACAACCATATATTAAATTTACTGTTAGTGAGATCTTCGACACCATTAATTCTTTAGATTTAAATCCATGCCCAGGTCCAGATGGTATCTCAAATATTTTATTACGATCATGTATCTTCTCGTTAACTGTTCCCATATGTAGATTATTTAATCGTTCTTTAATTGTTGGCACTCTCCCCTCCCAATGGAAAACCAGTTTTATTACACCTATTTATAAGTCTGGTAACAAAAGTTTGATAGTAAATTACAGACCGATTGCAAAACAATCAACTTTGCCTAAATTGTTAGATAAATTAGTGACAAATGTATTAACATTTTCATTAAAAACCATTCTAGATAATAACCAGCATGGTTTTAGAAAAGGGCGATCAGTGGAAACTAATCTTCTCTGTTTTTATAATTTCTTGGTAAATTCTATGGAATCCGGAATTCAGACGGACGTTATTTACACAGATTTCAGCAAGGCTTTCGATTCGGTAAACCATTCAGTGCTGATCGAAAAATTAAAAACGTATGGAATAACTGATCAATTGTTAACGTGGTTTAGTTCTTACTTAGAGAATAGATTGCAACAGGTGAAAATTAATGGTTTTCTATCAAATAAAATACCAGTGCCTTCAGGTGTTCCTCAAGGGGGGCATTTATCACCACTGTTGTTTGCATTATTTATTCTGGACATAGGTGCATGCTTTAAATACTGTAAGTACCAACTATTTGCTGATGATCTCAAAATTTATGCAAATGTTATAACAATTATTGATCAATATAAAATTCAAGAAGATCTGAACAGATTTTGTGATTGGTGCCACTCAAATGGGTTAAAACTGAATATCACAAAATGTTTCAAAATGTCTTTTTCCCGTTCAAGAACGAAATTAATTTATGACTATCATCTCTTTGATAATCTAATTGAGGATATTAGTACCATTAATGATCTTGGGGTAGTTTTTAAAACCAACTTATCATTTCAGCCACACATTGAACATATCTGTGTGAAGTCCCTAAGAACTCTAGGGTTCTTAATTAGGAATACCAAAGAATTCAAGAATGAACAGTGTCTAAAAACATTGTATACTTCTTTAGTTAGACCTAAGTTAGAATATTGCTTAGTTATTTGGAATCCTTCACAAGTCGGATTGATAGAATCGCTTGAGCGTGTACAAAGAAGATTTTTACGTTTAATCGCATATAAGAGACGTATGATTTCTATTAATAACCCTTCCGAGTCAATATCACTTAATTCTGTACAGGCTTCCCTTAACTTAGATTCCCTTGTTAATAGGCGAAAATATACAGACGTCTGCTTTCTTTCTAAATTAGTAAATGGTGCTATAATCTGTCCAGAACTATTACAATCCATAAACTTTCACGTTCCAAAATTTAATTCACGTTCTTGTCCTACATTTGAAATCCCTTTTCATCGAACATCTTACGGTTTTAATAACCCTGTTGATCGAATAGCCAGAGAGTGCAATAAATTAAAATTTGATTTGTTTATTATGAATGATTTGTATTCCTTAAAACACTGATTTTAGTAGCCTGATGCATATCATTAAATCACCTTTCTTTTTTTGTAAATTTATTCTAATATTATGTACATAATTAATTATAATTGTAACATACTTGTATCTTATTTTAACAATATTTATTGTCACTGTACTTGAGCCCACCTGGGCGTTTACACCAAATAAATAAATAAATAAATAAATAAAAATAAATATATTAAGAATTCTAAGTCCCGAAGCTTAATCATGATAAAACTATTTGAAAAATTATCTAATCTTTTAAGCGGGCATTTAGCCGCACTTCTCCAAATATAAAATATTCATATCTTCTAAAATATTAAAAAGTTGCTATCGATCATAGACATTACAGATTTATTAGATAATTTTGAAATATTGAACATACTTTAACTTACATTTTGTAATAAAAATAAATTTATTTATTGCCTTTATAATACACAAGATGTGAACAAAAAAAATACTTAATTATCCATAAATTATAAAATATTGTAGTTTAAATTAATAAAACTAAGAATTTCGTTAAATTATTATTATTTGTTTCATATTGATGCGATAATTAATTTTTTTTCAAATATTTTATTTATCGATACCTTTTTGATATTGAAAAAGTGTAAGAAAATGTAATGTTGTATTTCTATAAAAATCTAATTTGTAATTTACAAATATGATTAACGCACATTTTTCTTATAAGATTTATTATTTACATTAATAAAATTTATCTGTCCTTTTTTGCATACTATAATTGGTTAATAGTCTATTTTTAGTATTATAAAGAACAAATTATATAACTATTGGAATAATCTCTAGACTCGAAAATCTTTAATTAAAAAAATATGATACTTGGCAATTACACAAGGGATATTATTTTCAGATAAAGTAAATTAAAGTCGACTCTATCAGTTTTTAATAAAAAAAATCTGTGTAAATATTAAAATACTGAAACTATAAATAAAACATTTTCTACTAAGTAAGAAATCATCATTATTAAATTCATTGCAATCTTGATAAATTTCATATATATTACTATAGATATTTCCAATTACACATAACATTTTAAATCATAGAATATATTAAATTATTAAGATTTTAAAATTGTTCAATAATGATAAGTCAAGGAAGAAAATATATTATTTTGAATCTATTCGTCTATTATTTATCAATTTGTATAACGAATGTGACTAGCAATATAACCAGTGATCACCCAGATATGCAAAGTAAAAATAATAATAATTTTTGAAATTATATGTTTTTAACTATATTTTAAAATTGCTGCAGTTATTTTTCTGATATTTTTTGAAATTTAAGTAAATCAGAGTGTACATTGACTCTTTTTAGAAATAATAGTATACTAAATACATTTTTTAGCTTCGATGAGAAGCTGAGAAGGTGTTAGTTTTACTATGATGTCTTTTTTTTTTTATTATTTTACTTTTTTTTATTTATTTATTATTTTTGTATCTGTTACCACTTTCTAGATTTTAATTTTTACATTTTTAAATTTATAGTGCTATCCCTTTTTCATTCGACATATTTTATCTTTATCAGGATATTAATAAGGAACTATCAGATCATTTAGCTTTTGGAATAATCCACCAATTTTTTAAAATTAAACACTATCTAAAGATTTGCATCGAAGCGTTTTTTTTTTTGATAGTGATTTTAATCACTGTCAGATATCATTATACTTGATTCAACTATGCCACGTCACCACTATGCCGCGACCCCCCTGTGCTGGGTTTTTTTAAATTACTGATCAAGTTAATCATTTAATTATTCATTGAATGTAAACTGATTGATTTGCGTTTTTTTTTTTTGAAAACTAATTAATGATTCATATATTTATTGTGGTAACTTAAAAAAAAGTTACAAAAGAATATCTTATAAAATTATTTGGATTTTTTAATTTAGTAAATATATTTATTTCGTAATTTTTTACAGTTTTAGCACGAACAATTGAAAAGACAAGTATGTATAAAATTACATGATCAACTATATTTCCCAACAAAATATATATATTTAAAAACAAGCGCGGACAGGGAGGGTGGGCATATGGCATAGCCGCCTGGGCCCTCCTTTAGAATCGCTATGCTTAGGCATAACCAAATGATCGATAAAGTAACACCTAAAAAATGTTCTATAATAACTCAAAATTTTAATTTTTAAATTATATTTTAAATCTTTCACTTTATTAATCATACAACTATTTTCACGCTTTTAATTTTAATAATCACATAATAACTTCTAAAATCCTTAATTTTTATTTCATCTATCTTTTCTAATATGTGTTTAATTTTATTTTATTTTCAAGAGAAAACAATTCTTAACATAAATTATTTAGGTATTTAAAAGTTAGTGAAAAATAATTTTATTAAAAAGAATTCAAATACTTCAAATTTTGTAAATATTTTTATCTTCGATTTGAAGCTGAGAATGTATTAAATTTACTATTATGTGTTTTTTTTTTTTTTTTAATTTGTTTAATTGAAAAAATTTCCGTTATTTCTCATAAATATTGAAAATCCTCCAAAAAATTACTATTTTTTAAATCGGTAAATTTTGATATTTTTAAACCTTTTTTCTAAAAATTGCCATAAGTTATTGTAAAATGAACAAACCAAGATAATTCTTTTTTATATTGAAACTTTAGATATTACTCTTTCATTTGATAAAATTTGTTTGAAAATCTCACCCTTTAACTGCCCACAGGAAGAGATTCAAAATAGCAACTTCTGCACACAAATTTAACTTTTTCAACTAAAGTTTTGAAAATGTTCCGAAAATTTTACGATCTTTAAACATATGTTAAAATAAAGACTTTTATGCACTATAAAATCAAAAAAAAAAAAATTTTCCCTGACGACTTATCTTCTATCTGCAAATGATTGTCGTAGCTCAAAAACATGCAATCTTGGTGTTTACGATTTCAGATTTTAATTTGTTAACATTATATTACTATAACTTTACGAAAAATGTATTGATTAATACAACTTTTTTTTCATAAATACTTTATGTTTACTTCATTCATTTGATATACTTTTTTTGAAAATCTGACTTTTGACCTGACTATAGGGGTGATATAAAATAACAAATTTAAACACATGTCATTTTGTGGAAATATTGACACTTTTATTTAATATTAAATTAAAGCTTATATAAAATACTATATTATGAAAACAAATTCGAGATATAGTGAAAATGATTAACATATTCAAAAATTATTTTTAATATAAAATATTTTTTATTTAAAAATATTGTTGTGTTAAATTTTTGGTATTGTATTTTAATTTATTTAAATATATTTTATAATGGGGTACACTGATTTTCATGAATATTATATACGATTTCATATTTTATTTTTTCAACTTTAAATTACTATAACTTTTTAAAAATGTATAGATCAATAGAATTTTTTTTTCATAAACACTTTATGTTTACTTTCTTCATTTTATATACTTTTTTTTTTAAATTGGACCATTTTCCTTTAACAGGGGGGGATTAACACTTGTGACATACATTTAAAAAGTAGAACTTTTTCAACTTAACTTTTGAAAATGTTTCGGAAATACTGTGTCCTTTAAACATCTGTCAAATTAAATCTTACGATAATTACTATAAGTTCAAAAACAAAAATGTTTTTTTTCCCGGCATCTATTCTTCTATGGAAAAATGGCCATCGAATTTAACGAAAAATGTATTTTTATGTAAAAATCACTTTTTAACATAAAATATTTTAATACTAAACTAAATTTTTTGCTTCGATGGGAAGCTAAGAAGGTATTAATTTTAACATAATGTGTTTTTTTTTTTATGACTATTGTCACTTTTTCACAGCTTTCACTGGACCGATTTCCTTCTACAATACGTCAAAAGATCAAAAATTGTATCTAGTTAAATACATTACCAATAAAAATTGAAAAATTTTCCCTCGTTCCCCACAAATGGGGTAAATTTCCAAAAAAATTACAATTATTAAAATTGGTAAATTTCGTCATTTTTTTCACTTTTTTTTTCTTAAAATTAGCATAACTTTTTTAAATATGATTAAATCAATATAATTTTTAAACCTATCATTTCGTATATATTTTTTTTTAAATCTGACCCTTTACCTGCCCACAGAATACAGAGTGAACAGAGAAACTTTTTCAACTTAACTTTTGAAAGTATTTCGAAAATACTGACACTTTTATATATATCTTAAATTAAAGCTAATGTAATATACTTTAATATGATAAAAAAAAAATTACGAACTTTATGGTAAATGTAAATTTTTTACAAAAAATTAACTTTTGAAAGTTTTCCGGAAAGTCTGACACTTTTATATATATCTTAAATTAAAATTAATGTAATGTACTTTATTATGGGAAATATAAATTTGACCTTTTGACTTGTCTTCATGGTGAAAATGGCTACCAAATGCTATTTTTGTGTGAAAATTCTCGATTTTATATTTTACATTTTTTACTTTAAAATACTCTAACTTTTTAAAAAATTGATGGAACAATAAAATTTTTTCATGAGAAGTATTATTTATATTCATCTTTCATACGACATACTTTTTTTTCAAATCCGGTCATTTCCCTATATACGGGAGAGGGGGGTAAAATCTAAAAAATGCATATAGAAAATAAAACTTTTTCAATAATATAGAAAAATAAAAACTTCGGACTTAATTTTGTCTTCACGGTGAAAACAAACATTATAGTTAATAAAAAAAAATACGATTTTTGTAAAAAAAATTTTTGGTATTTATAACTTTATAATGCTATAACATTTTAATAAATGTATGGATTATTATAATTTTTTTATGATAACTACTATTTATATACTTTATTTATGCAACTTAATTTTTTTTGTAAATCGGACAATTTCCCTTTATGAAGGGTGGGATCAAAACTTAAAAATACATATTCAAAATAAAACTATTCAAAATATTATTCTTTTAATACTAAAAAATATTTAACTCAAAAAGCCACTAAAAAATTATTAAAAAGGCGAGCATAAGTATTTCGGGAACAATATTATCATTATCAACGCTAAAAACAAATTGTTATTTAATTTTACTTATTTATTATTAATTTCTTATTCTATTTTTGTTTAACTCCTAATTTTCTTGTGACATGTTACTGTATAAATAATTTCTAAAAAAATGATTTTGTGTATCGCCTGAATTTAACAATGGATTTTTCAATTATAATCCATTTTATAATACGTCCAATTAAGTAGATTTTTTAAAAACTATTTAATTGTTTTTTTTAGTTAAAGTGATTCATTATAATTAATGAAGTTCTAAATATTTTTAAATTGAAATAATTAAAGAAATAAACACTATGATTTCTATTAAAATGATTAAATACCATAAAAGTATAAAATATTTGTTTGTGATTTGAACGGATTTTTGAGCGTTTTCATCAATTATAATTATTTTTCATATTTTTAATTATTAAAAATGGGCTATCTGGTAAGAAGCCTATGATAAAAATTTCAAAAAATTCTAAACTATAGTAGTACACATATTAGGTTATTTCAAATGGAATGACTCTTTAATCATAAGTAACAACAAATGAAAAGTTTTGTATTAATATTTATACTTGTTCACCATGAAAGTAACAACTACATTATAAGTTTTTATAATTTCTCCGTAAAAATTACAATTCTAAATTAATAAATATTAATTTCATATTAAATTTAATTACTATAAATAGTATTTCATGATCTGAATTTAATCACTGTGAGATATCATCATACTTGTCCCAACTATGTTACGTCCACACTGTACCGCGACACTACTGTGCCATCGTTTTTTTATTTGATTACCATTAGTTACATATTATTCTTGAACTATTAGCTATATAATACATTTTAGGTTCATACCTTATGCCTTGTAAGGGTGTCAACTTTGTTTTTTCAAATGGGAACACATATTTTGAATTTAATAAAATGTTTGAATTTTAAATAAAACTTTTTTTGTACATAGATAATAAATTTTAAAGTTTCAAATTTTTAAATTATTATACATATATAATACACAAAGGATTACTAATAAAAGTAGCTAATTGAATTTTTATAACGTCGATATTCGTAGATACGCAGCGTTTATTATCATTGGTAGTAAGGCACATTGTTGCGAGTTTATAAATACTCCAACTGGCAATACAGAAAGCATATTCAATGATAGTCATAATTGACAATAAACACTCTGTGACTGTGATATCATGCTGTATATATGTCATTAACAAAATCCATAATAAATTTGCAAGTAAATTATTATTTTAAGAGTAATTGATTGGCTAACGTTAAAAAAATCGTTCTGTATAGACTTATTTCAGTAATTTTTATTTTATGCGGATAAAATACATAAAATTATTGTAATAAATGTCAATTATATTTATATATCCTAAACATTTACAAATAATTTATAGTGTACTTTAAATTTTTTTTAATTATAAATTATAATGATGTTCATTTTAAATTATTTTAGACAAGATGTTGGAAGCAATTCCATTAGAAGGTATTTTCATGTTAGATTTTGTGAATAAATTATGTTATTAAAATTATATCTTGAAAATTATCTGAAAGATACTTTTCAATCGTTAACCAAAAACCTATAATTATTATTATACAATTAAATGAGGAATGAACTACAAAATAAATGTTGGCTGGTAAATAGATAGATTTGAAATTAAATTTTTGATTTAATAATATTTTTAGCTACTAGTAAGAGGAATGTGCAACGTAGCAATTTTTTAGCTGTACATTTTATTAAAATATTGTGTTTATCAAAATTAACTTTTATCTAACGAAAAAGCAGCACGATTATAACTGGAGGAATAAAATTTTTAAATGGACAATTAAGCCGATAACAAGAATTGTCAATAAGAACTTAATTATGTGACAAAAATGACGATTTCTGTATGCTAAACAAACAATTAATAGAAAATTGGTCAATCAAACAATTATTACTGTAAAAGTAATGATTGAATTTATAGGTCCCAGAGTAATCTTCAGTACATTATATGAACTTTAACTTAATTAACTATAAGAGATGGGTTGGATGTTTGTCTGCTACACTTGAAAAACAAACAACGAGAAGACAATCCACTAAATTTTGATTACAGACAGGATTTTATAATTTATACATAATGAAATTAATAGATTTAGTATATTAATACATTAACAAAGATGTTAGACCCAGTTATCAGCAAACCACCCCACCACATGATGTTGATAGCCCACCGAACACGTTCCAAAAATAATCCTTAGAAATATGGAATATCAGCTTCCGCTAATCTTGATTACCATTGTCCACTCCCTATTAAAGCGGAAAAATGAGAGGAACTGTTGGTTTTTCGACTAAAAAACCGATATAAACCAACCAGCAAAAAAATACGCCAGATCACTGTGAAAGGGTCAGCTGAGCCAATAGTAACCCAACTCCACACACCTATTACTTAGTTGCCGATGGTGTCAGACAAAACTAATCGTTTTGTCAAGTCTCGTAAGTTCAGCGAAGAGGGAGGTTGGTGTTGATAAGTAACGTCGAGCAATGACCGGGCTACACACGTAACTTTTGAAAAATTACCTATAAAAAATTAAAAATTTTCAATAGTTTCCAAGAAAATAAGTATTTTAACCTTAATTGATTCATCTGTATAATACTTAATACAACAGAATTTTACAAAAATATTTATTTTTTCAAAGTCATATTCTATTTTTTCATTTTTAGATGGATCTAAAATAATGGAATTAATTTTAAACTCCACAAAAAAATATAAGCAATGTAAGAATAATTTTTTCACTTACATAGTTTAATAAAAGTATAGTTTTATCATTAATAATATAAAAGAAAACTTTGATTATTATTTTTTTCATTTTAGATGTTTTGGAATCACTTCTATTCCCCAAGGGTGAGTATATTATAAAAAACAGTTAAAGATCATCATTAGTAATTAATTTAAAATTAATACAGTTGCTAATATAAAATATACCAAATTAAACGATTTTTTATTGAAACAATCTTACTTAAATTTGCAAGATCGCTACCTTAGAATAAATTTATAAAATCTAAAAAATTCTCTGGTGTATTTAAGTGAAATGAAAATTTGTTAGAATTTAGTTAATTCTAACCTTATAGAAATGTTTGTTTTGCTAAATAACATTGTATTTAAATATTTGTATCATGGAGCTAGATATACAGAGTGTTCAGTAAGTCAGGAAACGGGTTTATATTGTTCTCATTGTTTATAACAATTGATCTATTATCTTACTCACTGAACATCTGTATATCATTTTCTCAATGATACTAGATAATATCAAAAATTCTGAAGTGATCGAATATCGAATTAGGTAATAGTAAAATATTAACAACAAAAAACTGGTGCCAGTTACTTCTTGCTCTTTGTTGGAGTGATATAACATAAACATATATAAATATAAAATTTGCTAATAAATTTAATGAGTAAATAACCTGTGAAATGGTATTACAAATATTTAAAATTTTTAATTTTTACTTTATTTTATATTTGTAAATATTCCAGATTTGATCGAGATAAACGATAATGAAGGTAATTAACACTCATAATTGAAAATGATAATCAATTTAATTTTAGACCATTCTTTACATCACAGTATATTATATAAATAAAAATGTCCATTTATCCGTTAAAAATACCTTTAACAAGACACATCATAGTAAAATTAATACCTTCTCAGCTTCGCATCGAAGCTATAAGTGGGCAAGTGTGAATTGAAATTTTTTTCAAAAGTAGATGTAAACATGTCTTTGATATTAAAATCAACTTTAAAACCAATTTAATCACTCAAAAAATCTTTCAAATTTTTCTTTTTAATAGGAGGCGTTAATTTGAAAAAAATGTGAACTCATTTTGCTTTTCTTTTTTTAACTGGGTTAAACAGAAACCGGAAAACTTCTTGTCGGGCAACTTTACATATTTCAGTATACTATACTGTGTTTTTAAATAAAATTTTGAAGTTCATGCCAGATCACTTAAAATGCTATTCCACTAGTAATTTTTTTCATAGTTCACCACTAACTTATTATCATGAATTTCATGGCCCTTCTCATGAAGTGTATTGAGGATAAAACCATTATAATAAAAATAAATACAAAGTCATTGTCTAACCATTGATCTCATAAGTAATTAAAAAATAAAAATAATATTGATAATTATGTTTTTTGGTTTATTTTATATGTTTATACATTTTTTTTTCAAAATAAATATCATGACATATGTAATAAAAATTCATCACTTATGGCTAATATTATTTATAATGAAAAATATATTTATAATATTCATTTAAAAATAAATTTATATTAATAATATTTTTGATATGAAACACCTTTTTCGTGGGGTAGACCGGCTAATAAATTGAGCTATTTATTCTAGTTTAAATCTTTGAAGTAATTTTTTTCTGCTATGTGGGAGGGCAGTGTCAAAAAGTTCAAAATAAGTGTAATTCATTATATTTATTGTAGATTAGATACATATAACTTAAGTAAAAATTATCGACAAATTATTATAATATTACCATCAAAGATAGCATCTAATATTACTATTAAAGGATAACTGAATAAAAGAATTGAGTCTTTTCAATTATTAAGAATATTTATTTTTCTTTGATAAACTATCCTTTAATGCATAATTTATATACTAAATAGTTTCGATGTTTAAGTAAAGAAATAGTTTTTTAAAAATATTTTTTATGTTCATCCCTTATATATTAATAATGATGATGGCCTTATTTTTTCAGCTTATATCTAACTTATAAGTTATTTATTAGATGAATTTCTACTTTATTCTTCTTCTTTTTCCTTGCCTTTATTCAAACTACTTGGGATTGGCCACCGTTATTCTAAACTTCCACTAGATACGATATCCTATATCATCTACGCTCACATCATCCGTCCTCATAACGTATTCAATAACATTCTTCCATCTTTATTTTGGTCTTCCTCTACCTCTTCTTCCTTCAAAATTCATTTCTATATCTGTTATTACAGCTTCCCATTCCTCTCTCCTAATAACATGAGTAAACCATCTAAGTCTATTTTTTTTTATCATATCCACGTCTGACGATATTAATGTAATACTCTCTTTTAAATGTTATATATTTCTACTTTCTATTAAAAAAATTAACATGGCTGCTGGGGATAGACAACCATTCATTGAAAGTGTACCGAAAATCATGTAAAAAATAGACACAGTACGGGTGGGTATTAGGTAGAAAGTGGAAGTCACTAATACCCCGTCATTACATTTATCATAGCGTTCGCTAGTATAAGTTACATTGTGTCTCCACGTCATTCCTTTCACGACGAAAACTCTTAATTTTTCATATTTTTCAGATTTGTTTTTCTTTATACTCTATTGGACATTCTTCACTCACGTCTCGCGTCTCTAATAATTGCAAATCGTCCGATTATTGAACGACTTATAGTTTTTTTTTTTTTGTCCTCCATCGTTTTTTAATATACTAATCATTCATTTGCTTGATTAGTGTATCCTTTATTGCCCCGTTTGCCCTCGTTACGTATAATGATTATACGTAAAATTATTTTAGTGGCCATTTTCGCTTCACAATTATTTACATACATTTTCCTCTGCTCGCTCTTATTAATTTCTAAATAGTACCATGTCATTAATACCGATGTGTATTGTATAATTCATATTAAAAGAGTTTAACGTAACAACGGGAACAGAACCTTAGACCAAAAGTGTTTTAGAGAAAAATGTTATCATTAGGCCACTTTGATTTTATGATTCAGATCTCGACACACTTCCATTTGGTTGATAACTTGATGTGTGGCTGAGGGAAACACAGTACTGTATCAAAATTAATGATGAAAACAATTGTTGGATTAATATAATATTCAGAATTTATTAACAGCAGTATATAAATAGCGGGTATATAACGGGATATCAAAGGTGCCGAAAAATTACGTCATCAATTGTTATCAGAAAACAATGGGTTCACAGATGAGAACACGCTGGCATCAGAGCTAGTGGGGGTTAGGGTAGGTCAGGTGTAACGTCTCTAGGGCGGACTGCATCTTACTTGTGTACCAATTGTTTCCCGAGAACAGTTGATAAGGTCATGTTTCTGTACCTTTGAGGATCTGTAACCACTATTTATAAACTACTAAAATATATAGTTATTTTGTATGACAGAACAAAAAAAACCAATAAATGGTAAATTTACTACCATATTTTTTGATCGTGAAACAGAGGAACGAAAGGGATAAATTCCTTCCCTCCCTGGTTAATCTTATTAGGCTTGGGAAAAAGACATGCCTTTGATCTCGACTATGAGTAGAAAGCATGATATATTTCTATTTACTTTAACAGGCGAAAACGAAAGAAATAATGTTATGTAAAAACAGCAGAATTTTATGCTATATTGAGATATATAACATCTTTTTTAATTTTCAGCTCCAACGTATCAAAACATTAATAAACTTATAGGTAAAACATATATTCAAGGACAATTTGATTATTAAATATATTAACGGATTTTATCCAACAAACACTTTACATTAATCTTCCCAGGCAACGGAGCCATAATTATTACCAAATAATAACAACCATATAAATTAATAATTTTTTAAAAAATGTTTGATTAAAAAAATTAAAACTAAGAAAGTAACAATATTTTAGCTCTAATAGTTTACTTTTTTGAGAGTTGTTAAAAATTCATTTTTAATAATTTAATTGTTTAAAGAGGTCAATTTTATTTTGTTCTTAAAATGTTTTTTTGAGTTGTGATATAACTTTTAACCATAACATAACACTAATATAATCCTTAAAACATAATGTTAATGTAATATAATTATTATTTGATATAGAAATTCTATGCATTTATAAATTTTGCTTGGGCCGCTTTAAAGAATCCCCAGTTTGTGTAACTTTATCATAGGGTTGTATGTATAGTATAATAAAAATAATTTTCATTCGAGAAGATGTTAAACCTCCGATCCCCCAAAAGTATTACCTCCGTAATAACAAATTATTTATTTTTTAAGTCAATTAATAAAAATATGTACTGACTGATGGTATGTTCAGAATAACTTAAAAAAAATTATAAGTGCATATAATTCCTATCCTTAAAAAATATTTTAAAAGAAATCGAGTGTCTAAAAAAAATTATTTTTTATTAAGTGTAATAAAATTTCAGAGTCTATTCGGTAAAACATTTCTTTGTATTAAACATTTTACACATTAAAACCGGACAATGGTCTACCCGCTTTTAAACGATCGAAATCATTTAAAACGTATAAATTATTTGAATGGTTTTGGACAAACTTGAGTCAAAAATTCTATTAAATGGAGTCAAGTCAAAATATTATAACACTGAGTGTAAAATTTTTTTATTATTAATAATTAATAATACATTATAGAAGAAGTACAAATTCATACCATTGGATATGAGGGTGCATTGCAAGAAATATTAAAGAGTTATTTCATAAATTTGAATAGTGAGTAATTAGGTGAAAATTACATAATAACCGTTACAATAAATACTTCTGTACTTGTATTTCTAATTTTTTTAAAAATATTTTTTCAAGACTGCAATGCTGACAATTTTCGGTATGATGTACAAGGTAAAATTAAATTAAATATTGATATAGATGGAATTTAAAAAAGTGTATAAGGTGATCATTAATTACTTTATGTTTTAATTCTGTATTTAAAAATATGAAATTCGAAATTCTGAATAACTTCTAAAACTTTTTGAATGTGATTGTCACTAATCTAAATTATGTTTTATAATGTGTTTTTTAGAAAATGTTGTCTATAGCCTTGCTGTCTCTAAACGTGTTGATTTGGTGAAGGCGATTGCTGTTCGGACGTTATTACATAATAATGGTAATTAATATTTGAGTGCTACATTAAAAAAAAAATCAATAGATTGAATAAAAATAACTTTTATAACTTTATAATTTTATATTATTAATTTTTTTATGTTTTTGTAAACAATATTATATTTTTTTAATATACTATGTGTATTAGTTTGTAAATTATATAACAATTTTTTTATAATTTTATTAATTCAGATGGCAAAACAATGTGCAAGGACGATAATAAACATAAATGTAAATTAGCTGCATTATTGCATCATGCTTCAAATAGGGATTTGATCTTAAAACATACAGGAGGTTGTGATTTTTTGGGAAATTGTACATTCTTTTACAGGAGTTTAGTAGAAAATATAAGGGGATTTGTGTCTTTCCGACAAATAGTAGAGAAAAATGGTGAAAGGAATCACCAACCAAAAATAGAAATATCGAAGGGTGCAGACAAATTTCAAGATTTCTTTGTTTCTCTTGAATAACAAATGTGTTTTACTTATCAATATGTGAAATAAACTTATTATTACCTTCTAAGTTATTCAACTTATATAATTTTATAATTATTACCATTATTTGATTATTATTAAGAACTACAGAATTTAACAAAGATATCAAAGATAACTTGTGATGAAATAGTCAAATACTTTGATAATTTTATTTTAATTTTTTAGTCGTGAATCATCGAATATGCTATTTTGATTTATTTTTAATATACATACAATGTTGAATTATGCTAAAAATATTAGCTCTAATAGTTTCCCTTTTAATGAATATTTTCATTCATGTTAAACAATTTGCATTTAGAAGCATTTTAAAACATTTTGAGACTTCAATATGCTTATTGACGTGTATTATAGTTTTTTAGGGCTGAGCCGAAATGTAATCCGATATAAAATTTCGAACGCTATATGCAATATCGGATTTATCAGTATTTGGTTTTTTATAACTTATAAATTTTCTATAATTTTAGATATACTAATTTATTTTACATAAATAAAAAATATCAGTGACCTGACAAAAAAAATTATACTAAATTTTTAAAATTTTTAAAATTATACAGCACAATTTATGACGATTTTTTAAATTGTATTCTACTACCCTCTAAGTAGAATACCCTCCATATAATCAGCACCAAAATCATTAATATAAAACACGATTTACTTATTTTTATTAATTTGACGAACGGAGAATGGATGAATAATATGAATAAAGTATATAATTATTGATTGGCTGGTAAAAAAAAAAATGGTTAAAGTTTAATTAAATCATAATCAATGAGCGAGGAGTTGTGTTAAAAACCAATGACTCTAAAAGAAAGGAAAATTGGAGGCTTTCGTCAATTTGACGAAGTTGTCGTATTTACACGACAATCAAAAAGCTAACTTGGAAAATTCCAAACATAAATTCAATATTAAGATTATAGACACTTTTTATATAATATAAATAAGATACAATTCAAAAAAAAAACCCAGCACAGGGGGGTCGCGGCACAGTGATGCCATGGTATAGTTGGATCAAGTATAATGATATCTGACAGTAATTAAAATTACTATCAAAAATAAACAATTCGATGCAAATCTTTAGATTGTGTTCAATTTTAAAAAAATTGGTGTATTATTCCAAAAGCTACATGATCTGCTAGTTCCTTATTGATATCTTGATTAAGATAAAGTAAGTCGAATGAAAAAGGGATTATTAAAAAATATTATATCTCATAAAAAAATTGTGTTGATCCATACACTTTTCAATAAGTTATAGCATTATAAAGTTAAAAATATAAAAAATAAAATCGAGAATTTTCACACGAAAATAGCATTCAGTAGCCATTTTTGCCGTGAAGACAAGTCTAGAGGTCAATTTTTTTTTTTAAATTAAAGTATATTACATAAGCTTCAATTTAAGATATATATAAAAGTGTCAAATCTTCAGGAACACTTTTAAAAGTTAAGTTAAAAAGTTCTACTTTCTATATGCATTTTTTATATTTGAAGCTCCCCCGTATATAGGGAAATAGTCTGATTTCAAAAAAAAGTATATCGAATGATAGATGTATATAAATACTACTTCTCATCAAAATTGATCCATACATTTTTTAAAAAGTTATAGCATTTTAAAGTAAAAAATGTAAATTATAAAATCGAGAATTATCATACAAAAATAGCATTCGGTAGCCGTTTTCACCATGAAGACAAGTCCAGAGGTCAAATTTTTTTTTTCAAATTAAAGTACATTACATTAGCTTTAATTTAAGATATATATAAAAGTGTCAGACCTTCCGGAACATTTTCAAAAGTTAATTTTTTGGTAAATAGTTGTCATTTTAAATCCGATCCTGTGGGCAGATAAAGGGTCAAATTTACAAAAAAAATATACCAAATGATAAGTAAAGACATCAAGCATCTATATAAAAAAAAAATTATATTGATATGTTCATTTTTGAGGGTAATTTCTCCAACTAGATACGATTTGTGATCTTTTGACGTACTTTTGAAAGAAATCAGTCCAGTAAGAACTGAGAAAAAGTGGTAACAGACATAAAAAAAAAAAAAGATCATAGTAAAATTAATACCTTCTCAGCTTCGCATCGAAGCTACTATATAGAATTTTTTATTAGATTATTATTTTATTAAATTAAAATACATAATTTAAATTGTATTTATATAAATCAAACTACATGAAACATAATAATAATGTTTAAAAAAATAAGAAAAAAATAAGTGCTTTTAAAAACATGTTAAAAAAGTAAAAACATGCCAAGAAAAAAAATAGAACTAAAACCAAGCCCAAAAAATGACGTGATATCATATTTGTTCAAACTTTTATTTAAAACTTTATCTTTACTTACTTTCCCCTATATTTTAACATAAAAAGGTATTACGTTAAAGAATGGAGTTTTGTAAGTCGAGTGGGAAGAAGAGAATCGCCACAACAGCCAAAATGACTAGTCGCCATAAATGTTTCACATCAAAAAAAAGTTCGTAGTCTAAAAACCTTCCTCACGCCCATTATTTATAAACTACGTTTTTTTTTATTTATTTATGTTTAAGAACTGTGTATTATATGCATTTAAAAATTTTGTAAAGTTAATTCGAATACACCATCAGTCAGTACAAATTTTTATTAATTGATTTGAATACTGAGTAACGTTTTCCCGATATCTTAGTTTTGGGTGTGATTACAGTGGTTAATCCTTCTTCCACAACAAAATAATATTTTTCTGCGTTACTATAAAATCCAGCAATTAAATTAAGACCCTTCAAAATTTATAAATGCATGTAATATATAACCCTGAATATTATATATTTATTTATTGCTTATAAATATATATTTTTATGATCAGTCAATAAGAATCTTAGTTATGATAACATATTAAAAGTATCTGATTCATTTTTATCGCTAGATTTTACTCTAGATAAACTATAATTATAATTCGTTAATTTTATACCATTTTTTAAGAATACACCATGATATCTTTCGATAAATTAATTTACTGAACGTGATTTAATTTATTAAGCTGGTTACACAAGAAGCGATTTAGCCGCTAAGGGTCTCAAATAGAAAATTGCTCTAGTAAAAAACCGTGTCTGTTCACATAATTCACACGCATTATATCATTAAAATCACAAGTGATTTTATGCCCGTATAAATTTTTGGTGCCAAATTTAAAATGTTTTGAGAATACTGTGAGGATTAATATATATATATCGTATGGCATTATATGAATAACACATTTTATCTTACTAGCTAATACAAGCACAAATATTTCAACAAATAAATAAATAATTGAACAAAAGAAAAATAATAATAATAATTAAAAAGTTGGTAATTCTATTAGTTGTAGTTATAATGTAATGTCCAAGTCCACCGTCCACTTAACCGCTTTTTTTCTCACTTGATGAATATCGTGTATGGTACCGGCGAAGTAAGCATTCGTTGATGATGTGGCTGGTCGTCTGTGATTTGTGTCCACAGTCGCATATTTCAGAATCACGCAGACTCCATTTAAACATTATGTGACCGCTTCTATCATGACCTGTTCTAATGCGATTTAGTGCAGTCCAAATTTTCCTTGTCAGCTCAAATTCTGGTTGTCTGGCAGTGTTACCAGTTTATGCACATCGGGGTTTTCTGATATCCAATCTTCTTCCCATCTGTTATTTATATCAAATTTTTCTTGGATGAGCTTCCTCACGGTTTTTCACGTTGTTTTTATTATTTATATAAGTAAGGAGATTTAACGGAAATTCTAAAATAAATTAAATATTCTAAATAGGTTTAATAAGAAAAAAGCCATTGTGTCTAATAGTTCATAATAACATATTGATGGAGTCATAAAACTAAAAAAGCTTTGATGTATGGGACACAGCTGTCAAGATGATTTTTAACAGGGTTTTTCCTTTCCTCCCATAGTAGAATCATTGGACCGCCACTGTATTTTATTAAAAATACAACAACCTAAAGCCACGATAATGATTACGTTTTGATTAACTAAGTGTTGATAAGGAGAGCCATTTAAAACAGACTCGGATTAAACGTAAGCGACACAATAGTTCAAGATTGAAAATTAACGTAGAGACGTTTATTCTCAGTAATTAACAAGTATAATACACAAAAAAGAAAAACTAGAGTTCGAATTAATTAACCAGTTTCCAATAGTGTAGTTGGTTGACGATGTGCCGAAAATATATGTGATATTCGAACGATACGTGTCATAAGGTGTCACAAAAATGATTTCAATGTAAATTCACAGACTAAAAATAGTCAGTGATACATTTGCGTCTGGTCGTTGTCGGCCATGCAGTACTTGCTGGACTTTATACCATGATGTATGTGGTGTTTGTCAGACAAATTATTGTATTTATGTAGTTAGATAGCGGCAAACAAAGATGGCACAGGTCGTGAGGTCGTATCAATATATTATACAGAATATTAAGGATAATACACTAAACAATTTCTTGGTAACTATTGAAAATTTTAAATTTTCACAAAAAAAAAAAAATGATTTGATTATAAAATTCTATATTATGTAGTTTAACTATTTTTCTTTAATTTCTTCGAGAATCAAATACCTAAACTTTAATTTTCTTTAATGGAAACCACTATTTTTAGTTTGACGATATGATAGAAAAAAAATTGTAAATAATTTTGTTCTTATATCTACCCGATGAACCTTCTTCTGTTATTAGTTGTTTTCTATTGATAATTTGCTGTATAGCATACAGCTATTGTCAAAGGTACTAATCGATATATTCCACCGCGTAGAAATCTTATTTTTAATAATTCATCTCTATTAATAGACGAATAATATTATATTCAACGCAAGATTTTACTATTGTACATTGTTGAGCGACCAGTAAGGAAAATTTTTGAGTTAACGACCACTAAAATAATTTATGTCCTATTAAAAAAGATTATTGTTGCCCTTTTATTGTGAAAATAAAATTAACGACGAATTTGTATTTGAATTACATATCATTAAACAATTTTAAAAAAGAAACCGTTGATTGGATAAAAAAAAATTTAGAACAAAATCGTTTAAAAATTTTTATTCTATCAACAAACTAAAAATAAGGGTTCCCTAAATGAAGAAATTTATGTTTTAATTTTTTATTCTTGAAGGAACGAATCACTCTGTATATTATTTAATTAATTATTATAATAGAACAAGGAAAAAAACGCTTTTCTGGGAAAATTACTTAGCGTGTTTGGATTTTCAAAATTTTTTTTTTCAACGAAAGTACTCGTTCACCAGACTCCGGGAAAATTATTGGCGAAGGTCGGAAAATTTTTGCCGAAGCCGCGTAAGGCTCGAAGGGCTCCGGGTCTGGGGCGGAGCCCCAGCTAGGCGAAGCCTAGTTAATTATTATTAGAGCACGAAATTATAAGCACTTAAAAAGAGCCAAATATAATGGAAGTATATGCAGAAAAAAAAACAATAAAATATGCGCTTAATAAATTGTTCATCTTAAAAAAAATGTTTTATTATATAATCAATTGTGCTATAAAACTTAGTTATTTATTAAAGTATAGTCTATCTGCAATGCATTGTGCCCGGTGTGCAGTTATCGAGGTTCGATTCAATACCGTTGAGCTATACAGATTTTCATCCTCTCATACTAGAACTATATTTCTGTTAACTATTATATTTCCTCTTTAGACGTTTAGACTAAATTAAAAAAGTAAATAAAGGAAAAACTAGCTAGAATTACATAGTTTAATTCTAAGTGAACAACTTTTAATAATTAATTCTTAGCATTAACAAATCATAACAAAACTTTAGATGAGACTATTCGCAGGTAAACACTATCACAGCTAACGCTCGACAATTGATTACTGACGGGATAGAGTGCCTGCTGGAAACCACTAATTTCTAAATGATCATACTGGTCAATGTAAAGAAATCTTAAAATTTTTTGGTTAAAAAGAAACTAAATAATATTAAAAAAAAAAGATTATATTATAGACTTGAGATCATTAGCATAGTTATCATGGGAGCTTTGGTGGCTTTAACCCCTATAATAAAAGATAATTTTTCGGAAGAGTAGGCGATAAAGAAATGTGGTATAGATTTTTATTAATTTATTATTCAATATTATGAAATAGTCCCTATAGACCAATTTTTAAAGTTACGCTTAAGTTTTCTAAGACTTTCATAATCTCAATAAATATAAATATATATATCTACTGATTGAAATGTTTACGGGTATATCCACATTTTCAGTAGTGTGCTGACGTTTCGGACTCGTTGCAAAGTCCCTCTTTAGAACGATAGTTACAGGCTCATGGTTGTAACTATACTGCCAGTTTAGTTTATTTATGTTATGTTTTTATATAAGTTAATAACTGATAACTTCAATGTTGTTTATCTGTTATCGTTTTTGTAGTATTGTTGTTGACAACTGTAAGTTTGTTGTTTACATCCAGTTTTTGTTTTTATCGTTGTTTACTGCATTCTTGGCATTTAGCTCTTTCTTTTCTACATTAGCAATTTTCTGTTATGTTAATTATAGTTTGTTGATTCTTTTTTTTTGTTTGGAGTATGATAGGTAACCAAGTCTTGCTAATAATCCATCAGAAAATGTTCAGAAAATTACTACAGAGAAGATGGATGGACCATTAGCAAGTCTTGGTTACCTATTATACACCAGGTAAAAAGAAAAACAACAAAGAAAATAACTTAATGGGTGAAAAATATAACAGAAAATTACCGGTGTAGAAAGAGAAGAGCTAAATGCCAAGAATGCAGTAAAAATGACTTAAATCATGTTAATTAAGTAATTTTTTATTTTAAAATTATATTTTGTTTATATAAAAAATTTAGTTTTTTTTATTTTATAAATTTTAGTAGTAGATTGGCGTAAAATACCAATTATTATTCATTTATATTTCAGTTTTTTTTTAATAAATACTGCTATATACACCTCAGTAGTCAAAAACAAAACTAATACATTTTGAATTATTCATTGTAAACTGATGGCGTATTTTGGTGGGTGAGATATACGAGTCACCCCTTCCCACCAAAACTAATAACTAATATAAAATCTTAATTTTTTTTAATTTTCATAAAATAACATCATTTAAAGTTTAAAGATAAGGCGATAATGTTATTATTTTATCAATAAGTATTTCTCATTCACAGTCTTTCTCACACCTAAGAGTAAATATATTGATAACTTTTGACATTTTTTCACTAAAGTATATAACAGTCATCTATTTAATTATATCAGTTTATAATATTTCTAATATATGGTATAATTTAAAAAATAAAGTGTATGCACTCATAAACAATGGTGATTGAACTTTAAAAACTTTAGAAATATACGAGTATGTAATTAAAAAAAAACCAAAAATAAATTATTAATATTATTATTATTTTATGAAAGGATAAATAGCTAAATAGCAGGATGGATAATAAATAATTAAATAAATATAACCTAAGTAGAAATTAAAAAAGATTAATAATAAAATCTATTAATTTTAATTTTAAGATTTAAATATTTAACTTCAAAGTGAAACACAAATTATTGTTATAAAATATTAACAAGAAAAAATAATCTTTATATAGATGTTTTAAGACCGTGGTGGTACGTTAATAAGTAATTAATTGGCGTTTAATTGAGCTATACACAACACTTTTATTACAATAAATAACAATTTTTAACAAACGTAAGATTTAGAAAATGTTTGTCATGACGTCTGTCATTCCGAGATTTAAACATAAGTTATTAAATTAATGCTTATGTTTCTATTTTATAAGCTAGTTTAATATGTTGTCATATAAAGATATAAAGTTCACAATCTTATAAGATATAAGGGTTGGACTAAAAAATTATTTTATAAAAGATAAATGGAAAATTTACATTTATCTTTATATATGTAAATTATATTATATTTATCTAACAAAAAATAAATAAAAAAAACTTATTTAAAAAAAAATTGAATGGCTAGCGTTAAAAAAATTTCCCCGTATGAAACAACCCTTGAACTTAAACAAAAAATATTTAATTTTTTTTTTATTATCTTGTCTATATTTAGATTTAGGTCAAACGGTTTAGTTTATAGAAGGGTGGTCCCCATTTAATCAGGATATAATTAAGGAAATAGGATTTGATGTTACTTTTGTAATTATCCAGCAATTGTTTAGAATTAAACACTATCTATAGATATGCTTCGAAGCATTTCTTATGATAGTGATTTTAATTACTGTCAGATATCATCTATATTTGTCCCATCTATGCCACGTCTACACTGTGCCGCGACTCCACTGTGCTACCGTTTTTATGTACGAAGCTATTAAATTTTATTATTGTATTTTGTGACAAGTGGCAATTGAATATAATAAATAAATTTATTATTAATTTATTTGATATAACTTATTATAATAAAGACCAAAAATCATTACGACATTAATTAATTTTTTGAATGAAAAATTTAATTTGTAATTATTCTTAAGTCAAATAGTGTATTATTGTAGATTTTAAATAATTACAATAGTACAATAGTCACCACTTTGCTTGGTAATTTTTATGGGTTATATTGTTTGTATATAAATAAGGAAAAAGTCATTATTAACGTGAGAGAAAATTTCTTTTAAATGTACACATTGGGTACTCTACATAGGATTATTAATATTGTAAAATGACTGAAACTGTTTTCATGCGTGATCGTTTTTGAGGTTATGGATGTAAACTAAATAATTTGTTTACTATTTCAAGCGTGTTATCATTATATCAGAAATGAAATTTAAAAATTGTCGTTGTTCCATAATAATGTCATGTTTTTTATTATAACTTTTACTTGAAATTACAGTTTCATTTTGGGTAGTTTTTTAACTACACATTATTAGCTATGACTAAACCTAGACGTTCAACGGGGCCCGCAATAAAGTATCGCACTTGTGATACTTGTCATTCAACTTTATATTTTAGTGATATGGAAACTCATTTCTCTGGCCAATGTCCACCCTTAACGGAAAATTGGTCTCAAGCTTATGTACATGATCACAAATTGTTTTCGTATGCACAGCTACACACCAAAGGTATTAACCGAGTAAAATATATTTGTTTATTAATTCAAAGAAATAAAGACAATGATTTTTTCAATGGAGAGGGCTAAAGACCTTATTATACTTATCACATACTCTTACTAGTGTCAGTCATTTACTGTTAACAGTTATAATTGACTAATGGAGAATGGGTGGCTATAGATTCTTTGGCATCCCCTGAATAAAAATTATGGCGTTCTGTTATGGTTACTAATTAATTATTTAAACAGTACACTAATGTGAGTTGTGTATACTTTATGTCTAAATCATTTATTATAAGTTGTAAATCTTTTAAAAAGTAAAATATTTGATATTGTATAATAGACGACGAATTCTTGGTTGGTAATGATAATGTTGTTGTTCCAATTGCTGCCATACAATTGTGTGGGTTTGTACTTGGTGAGCCAGTAATTGTAAGATGTGGATCAAAGACTTTAGTAAAAAATATCTGGCCTTCTGAAGAATTACCACTCTCAAAAGTGTTTTTCTCTAAAGATGGTTGTATATCAATAAAAAAACATATTGAGATAATTTTATTTTCATAATTCATATTTTCAGTTTTGGTAAATGAATTTGATCAATTAGAGCATGTATCTATTGAAAGATTTTCTATTCCACCAAGTGAAGCACAGCATATTGAAGTTGAATTAACAAAATATGACTTATTACCTCCTGATGGTGAATTCAAGAAACAATTGCTGCTCCATATATCTAATAAATATGAAGGAAGGATTATTAAGCAGTCTGATTTTCTCTGTTTTGATTTTTATGGACGTAGTTTTTCTTTAAAAGTATATGAAATTCAAATATTTCCTTGTCATAATCTTGAAGAACAAATTAAAAGTCTGAATTTAAACAATAACTTTTATCATATTTCATCATCTACCACTTGGAGTATTAAATCTAACGTGACAATAAATAAAACTCCATTTCCTTTAGAAAATATTGGCGGAATAAGTTATTTGTTTGATAAAATAATAAAAATTATTGAAACTACCAAACATTACCAAAGTAAGAATAACATTTTATTCAGTAAAATTATTTTTTGTATATGTATAGACTGTGTTGAGTAAAATATCATAATTAAAGAAAACTATGTCCTAAAGAGAGCAACTGTTCTATTGCATTAGTCTTATATTTTACTTTTTCATGTATATATATTTTTTTTCTTTCTTTTGTAGAACTTCAATTTTTAGAATTTCAATCAAAATGTACAATTAAAAAAAAATTCAAAATAGTCTTGTCTACCTACTATCCATATATTTTGATAGTATGATTTAATTTGTAAAATAAGTTTCAATTTATAACTATTCAATAAAAATTGTTTATTACAAGTCTTTAAAATTACATTTTTGTATGTTAAATAAAATATTAAAAATTAAATCAGAAAAATTTACTCTTTATTGTTATAAGGTCGATTTGATAGAATGGAGGTACTGTGGAATTTTTACATTAGCTAAAAGTTACTTAAGTGGATTTATTTCATAGCTGATTTAATTTTAAGTTTTAGGTATTTATTTTATTTAATCCGAATCTTTTAGACCATTGCGGTATTCTTCTACATGGAATATCTGGAACTGGAAAGACACTATTAGCAAATACAACAGCTAATTCATTAGATAGACATATTGTTGAATTGAAAAGTTGGGAAATTTTAAGTAAAGTATATGGTCAAAGTGAAGCAAGGCTAAAACGATGTTTTGAAGAAGCAATAGTAAATTCTCCAAGTGTAATTCTTATTGATCAAGTAGACACATTTAGTATATCAAATAATCCAACTGATTTAGAAAGAAGAATAATCAATACAATGCAATCTCTGTTTGATTTGCTTAAAACAGTCAAGCACAATGGGATAGCAGTACTTGGAACTACTAGAAGTTTAGAATTAGTTGATGGTAATTTACGAAGACCTGGAAGGTATTAATATAATAAGCTTAATACTTATTCTGTTATGTTATGGATTTAGTTTTAAAACAACAATATTTTTCAGATTTGATTATGAAGTCGAAGTACCTGTGCCAAATGAATTGCAGCGTAAAGATATTTTAAAGTGTCAATTATCTCATATTAAACATAATGTTATAGAAAGTGATATTACTGATATTGCTTATAAAGCTCAAGGATTTGTGGGAGCTGATTTATTAGCTGTAGTGAACCGTTCAGTTACAGAAGCTGCAATAAATGATGAAGAATTTGTATCTTATAAACATCTCTGCATTGCAATAAATCAAGTGAAACCTTCTGCCATCAAAGAAGTTTTGGTTCAAGTGCCAAATGTAAGATGATTTTTAATTATATATTTTGAAAATTATTAATTTTCTCCAATGATAAATAATATGTATATTATTTTTAACAAAGGTCAAATGGACTGATATTGGTGGACAAGATAAAATCAAATTAAAACTTAGACAGGTAGTTGAGTGGCCTCTTAAATATCCTGAAGCTTTTGAAAGGATGGGTATAAGCCCTCCACGCGGTGTTCTGTTGTATGGACCCCCTGGTTGTTCAAAGACAATGATTGCTAAAGCTGTTGCGACTGAAAGTCACTTTAATTTTATATCCATTAAAGGTCCTGAGCTTTTTAAAAAATACGTGGGAGAGTCAGAGCGTGCTGTAAGAGAAACATTTAAGCGAGCCAAAAGTGTTGCACCATGTGTTGTATTTTTTGATGAATTAGATGGTTTAGCTGGTGAAAGAGGGATTGGTGATAGTGGGTCAAGTAGTGTACATTCAAGGGTTTTAGCACAACTATTAACTGAATTAGATGGAGTTCAACCATTAGGAAATGTTACTATTTTAGCTGCAACTAACAGACCAGATTTAATTGATTCTGTAAGCTTATTTTTATTTTAACTTAATCATACAATTAATTGATCTAATGTTAAAGGCTCTTCTGAGACCAGGAAGATTAGATCGAAAAGTTTATGTTCCATTGCCAGATGAAAATACACGCCTAGAAATATTAAAGCTTAAACTTAGTAAAATGCCTATATCAAGTGATGTGGATATCACAGAACTCATCAAATATACTGAAAATTATTCGGGGGCTGAGGTAATTTGACTTAATGTGTTAATTAATATAAATTAATTTTTTTAAGTGTCTTATTAGGTTATATCAATTTGTCATGAAGCATCTCTTAAAGCAATGGAAGAAAATATACATGCTAAGCAAGTTGAAATGCGTCACTTTATCTCAACTCTTGAAAGTATGCACCCTCAAACACCAACATGGTTGTTAAGCATTTATGAAAAATTTTCTGGGCACCAGTAGCAACAAAATAAATTTACTTTATTTATATAGTAAGTTGTAACTATTACAAATAAATGATACAATTTTAGCAATATACATTTAGAAATATAAAAGAAATACAGAAATTAGGGCGGCGAAGGGTATATCTAAACTAAATTTGAGGAATGTCCTTTCCTATGGCAGTCAACAGAACTTTTTCAATCAAACTTATCTCTTAGTTTTGCTTTAAACAATACAGGTAAGAGAGATAGTGTTGCAAAAGTTGCTAAAAGTAAAACAGAAGTCCATGACCATGTACTACTAGTAGATGTTAACTCATGCAATGTTTGACCAGCTTGTACAGCTAATACTGATGGTACAGCAACTCCTAAAATAATTAATAATAAAAATTAAAAACATAATACTATGGTTAAAAGCACATATATAAGAATAAAATCAAAAAAATAATATCATTAATTTTCATTTTTTAAAAAACTAATTTTATTTTGCATTTTAAGTTTCTTTTATATAATCTAAAGCTAACATAAATATAGTATGCAATATACATTTAGACTTTTTACATTTATAACATTTTAAGTCAAATCCTTAAATTATGTCAAAAAATGTTTTAAAAAAATATTTTTTCAGCGGTATCATATAAGAGTTAAATTTCTCTTATGGAAAAACTGACTAATAAATTAAATACTAATCTGAATGTTAGTAAGCTTATACTTAATATCCAGTATTTTTAGATGTAAATTAAAACTATTTAATTCACATTTTTGAAAATAATTAGCTAAAAGAATGAGAAATATTAGTAGGAAAAACTAAAAATTATTAGAAAGTTAATTTTATATAAATTTTGATAATTCTATTAATTTATTGCTTTAATTTAAAAATTATATGAATTAATATATAAATATTTTTTTAAATAATTAAGTTGTGCCATTATTAAATGTATATAAACTTACCAAAAAAGGTTCCAGCCCAAAATGGTATTAATGGTACATCAACTAATGGTGCACATACATTTATAAACCAGTTGGGTAAAAAAGGTGTTATTCGTAAAAACATAATATAACTTAACATATTATGGTTATGCTTTTTCACCTAATATAAAATATTGAATAAAAATGTAATTATTATAAATTATAATATTTATATTTAACTATTACATTGTGAAATATAAGTTATTATGAATTTCTCTTACCAATAGTGCATAAGATTTTATCCTCTCTGGGAAATATTTATATGCTAACCTTCTACCAATAGTCATTGACAATAAATAACAAAAACTAGCACCCAATGCAGAACAGAAACATATAATACCTAAAGCTAAAATAAATGGATACAAGAACCCACATAATATGGATAATGATATTGATCCTGGAATGGCAAATGTTTGTAAACTAAACACAGAAAAGTTAAGGTTTGTCTAGTACATAAAATATTGAACATTTTTCAAAAAAGGATACAATATATAACAGAAAAATATGCACATAAAAACTTGAGTGTAATAATTGTCTTTGTAATGTTCTAAAACTTTACCTAAGTTTTGAGCATCTTTGATGTTAAATGGAATTTTAATGTAGTTTTTTTCTTCCCTAACAATTAAACTTATCAAATATTCAGCTAATTTATATTTATTCATTTTTATACATACTCAGATAATTCTGGAAAGCTATAATATAAATATACCATAATTAGCAATGAAAAGATAAATATGACTATGAGTATCACTACTGCTTTAGCGGTTGATAAAGTCTGATCAGTTTCAATTTTATTGGGTTGAATTGACATAGTATCATCAAATGTAGATTCTACAAAAATAATTATTATTTTTATTGTTTTAGGTATTAAGTACAAAACTAAATTAAAGAAACAAGAAGATATAGTTTAACAGAATTCTATAGTACAAAATATAAATTAACTTAAAATAATTACCATTTTGAATACTTTGGTTAGCAGCCATATCGTTGCACTTATTTGACTTAAAATAAAATAATCAGAAGAAACAAAATGTTTCCTATTATTATTGGCTAAGATATAGATGCCATATACTTCAATTATAGTTTTAATTATTTTATAAATTGTATAATATTTGTTAATATTTATTGTTGTTATTCATAATAGGTTTTGAATAATTTTTAATTATTATGTTAAACTTCAAAAATTAAAAATAATTTATTCATGAAATATAATAGTGTTATCATATTCCTTACAGCAACCGATAATTCTTATGATAAATTAGTCATAGATGACGTATAAATCAGGCCTCTAGATCTCACTATACTTATTTTGCATTTATTTTTTCCATATAAGTGCTGCACTCTAAAAGCTTTTTGTTTAATACCCAAATATATCGAAAGAAATTTATAAACTCTATGTGATAAAATAATTTTATTGAGAAATCTTTATTTTACTACAAAATGATTTAGATCTTTATGAAATTTTGATAGTTAAATATTAATTAATGATTTATTTTTGCATTCACATTAAAAAATTTCCACGTAAGAGTAGAATTATATCATTAGATAACAGTATCACAGAATAGATAAGGTTCATCTATTCTGTAACACACAGTCTTAGAAGATGATGTCGTCGTACTGTACACTATTATATCAATGATTACTTATAATATTTCTGCTTAATAAATCTAAAACGTTACAAATATTTGTACGTACAAATTCGATGTTTTGATGGAAATGTGATATTATAGAGGTAATATTGTATACATATAATATATGTATCCAAAATATAACGTATATATTATAAATACGTATAACCTCAAATTTCCTAAAAACAGCGCTTTTGCGCATATCGTCTCTTTTTTATTATATATTGTCGTCTCGTAAGCGGAACACTGATAAGAACAAAGTTCATGAACCTTATCTTCTAAGACCGTGAAGTGGATTACGGTTTTCTGTAACCGTGGCTATGATCACAAGTAGAGATAATTAACCTTAAAGCTAAGTTTATGTTATTCACCAAGATATCAAATTCTGATGAACAATACCAACTTAGGTGAATTAATCAAGGTGTCCATATTGTTTTCACTCCGTTCAAAAATATGACCGAAATGAATACACTATTTATCTGTAGCACTAAGAACGCCGATTACCCTTAAAGGGGTAAACAATTAAATCGTTGAACGGGATTCAAATTTGTTTTATCATTTTTCTAAATTTCAGAAAATTGATTTTTTTTTATAGACATTTTGGACGATAAATCTAAAACAGATTGTAAGAATTACAATTTTAGTTAATTTACTAACTAATAAGCACTCGGGAAGCTTATTTCCTCATTTTATTTAGAGAATAACAAAGTATCAATACGTTTTAATTTCTCTTGTGTATACCTATTCGTTTTTAAAATATTGCAAAGATAATTTTGTGAAAAATTTACCGAGTATTATTTACTTACTTTGCTGTCTTGTGAGTTAAAACATAATATACTTATATTTGGACAATTTTTCTACTTGTATATAATACTATAATGTTTTTCATAATATACAAAACATATTTTTGTGTACTTTAATGATAAATATTTATTTTTGGTAATGGAAAGAATATTATGTAATCAATTTTTTTATAAAAGTACCTTCTCAACTCGCATTGAAGTTGAAATTAATCTTATGACTCCTTTCTATGTAACTACTTAGTCATTTCAAATTTTTAAAAATTGTTAATCTAGAAAATTTCTTTCATTAATAAAATTATAATGTATGAATATTAAAATAATAGCTCCCTCAAATAATTAAAATGTCTATTAAAGCATTAATTTATTCTATTTTTTTAATTAAAAAGTAATTAATTAATTAAAAAGTGCATAATTACGCTTTTTAGTTTGTTATCCATATTAGCATAACTCTTAGACTTATGTTCATTATACATAAAACAATACACCTCAGAAAGATAGAATATTAAAGGTAAAATTTTCCCTTCCTTTGTAAATGTTGATTTGGTTGACCAGAATCACATCCAAGTACAAAACATTTCAGAGGAATTTTTAGTTGTATAAAAAAAAAATTAAATAATGCCGTTTTTAAAATTATTATGTCAAATATGATACAGTAATACATGAAATGAATAACAAATTACAATCACAGTTGTTAAGAAGTAGAAATCATACATTGTTGAACTTGTATCAAACTGACTTTATCCGTCAAGTTTCTTAAAAGTTTAGCAGTTTTCGAAATATTTAAATTTTTATCACTTATAAAATGTTTGATATCTTGTTAATTATTATTTCATGGTACTCGTGAGCCTTGAATTTGAAATAAATATAATAAACCACAGATATATAATGAAATATTTGTGTAATAAACTAATTTTAATAAACATTTAAAAATTGTTCTAAATTTTATTTTAAAATAATTAAGAAAAAATATCATAATCGCATGATTCTATGATTTTGTGGTCTCTCTAATGATACACTGTGATACTGACGTTGTTATCAAAACAAATGAAGTAAAAATTATTATTTATTATTGTTTAATTTTTAATTTTTATCATGTTTTTAACGTGATTTATAAAAAAAAAAAATTAGTTTATGTTTAGTTATTTATACATACATTGTTCTTGTTAATATTATTATAAAATTTAAACATGCTTGGATATCAATATTGTTTATTTATGCGTCGTTCTGTAAATGTACTGCACATTAATTGTTATGCTATTGCTGGCTGTTCAACTAATACCAATCCTTCAGGTAATTGTAATATTTTAAATACCAAACAAATCAATGGCTCAATGATTTCTTGTAAATATTAATAACTTAAATAGTTTATTTATTACGATTTTTTTTAAGATGGCAAATTCAGAGTGTTGGACTTAAAAAAGAAAACTTTCAAACCACAAGAAAAGAAAAAATATATAAAAACTATCACAATGGCTCCTAGGTAAAAAATAAATTTATGCCTACTATAAAATTTAGTTATTATGATGGTATTAACATGGTATGTTGGTGTAGAATTTACTTAAGCATAATTTGGATGTTTCATGAACAATTTTTTTCTTCTATAAGTCATATAATTTATAACATTCTTTTAAATATCTTCTTTATAAGAAACTTATATTTATTTTTAGAGAACAAAGAATGCCAGTTGATCAAGATTGGACAAATGTTTGGCCTGGACCTAAAACTTTTCATCCAGCTTCTGTTCCTTTAGCACTGCGGCAAGGTTACGATCAAAAAAGAGCATCACCTGGAAAATATGGCAATGCTGAATTGATGAAAATTCCGAATTTTTTGCATCTTACACCTCCAGCTATTAAAAAACACTGCCATGTTTTAAAACAGTTTTGTACTAAATGGCCTAATGGGCTTGAAACTGATGAAGATTGTAATAAACATTTTCCATTAACAGTTATTTCTACAGACTATTGCCATGCTTCACCAACTATTAGAGATCCAAAGGCACGTATTGTTACTTTGAAGGTAAATAATTAAAAGTTTTTTAAATGTAATGTAGGTATTGTGTATCCTTGGCATACACATTCCTAGCCATCTTTATGATAAAATGAATACTTAACAGTATTGCTAATGTATGCATAACCTCGTATTAATATTAATTAAGAAATTTAGAAAGTCACTGTTGAGGAAAATACATGGATGTATTTCTGTTTTTATAATTAATTAATAAAACTATTTAGTCATAATTTTACATTATAAGGTGTATTAACCAATTTAAATGGTATAGCATTGATTTTTTTTTTTTTTTTTTGGTAGTTTAAATTGAGTTCATTACAATTGGATCAGCATGCTAAAGATAAGATGATTAGATTAGTAGGAAAAAGATATGACGAAGAAACAGATATGGTTACTATAGTGATTGATAGGTGTCCAATGAGAAAGCAAAATTATGATTATGGAATTTATATTCTTACTGCGCTTTATCATGAATCTAATGTAAGTAAAATTAATTATTTAACTTATAAATTGTGATAAATTTTTAAAATGTAATAGACTTTTGAAGACTGGGAAAAATTAAAACAAGAAGCTGATATGGAATATTATGTATGGGAAAATAATCCTTCTAAAACAGCATATGTCTCATATGTACAGTATCCTAAAGTAGTTACAGAAGAAGATGTTAAGTTATATTCTATTGATAATGACCCTGTAGGGCAAATATATAAAGAAGCTGTATCATATTTATTAAATAATGGTAAATATTTAAATAATAAAAAGATAACATGTTTTAAATATTTTATTTATTAGGTGAAGACATTTATACATTAAAAAAGTACAGAGATGCTGCATATGCAATTCTATTACCAGAAGTTGATCAAACATCAGCATGAAGTCCTAAAAATATATATATATTTATACATGGACATTTTTTAAATAAAATTTATTTGTTATGTAGATATATTAGATTTCTATTCTTTTGTTTTAATTGTTATTGGTAGTCTATCACCCCATTTACTAGATCTTGCACACCAATAAAGTGATCTAAAAAAAATATTAAAATTCAATTGAAAATATTTTAAAATAACAATAAAAATAATTTTCATTAACTTAATACCTATTATAATATATCTTACTACTTCTGTATTCTTAATACTATTATAATTACTTACTGGCCATGTTTTGCTGCAGTGAAAATAATTTCTTCCAATTTACCACTACTAGTACACATTCGACAAACAGAATGTTTAGAACGTATTAAAACTGGCCTGACTATTCGTGGCCATTGATCATCATTTATTGATCTAGGTCCTAAATAGAATATATTAAGGAATAATATAATAAATTAAATAAAAACTATTAACAAATTAAGTGGCAGTAAAGTAAGTACCTTTCTTTATTATAACGTAGGATACAAGTTCACTTTTATAAGTAGACTGTTGGGATATTTTTGGTGTAAAATATGGAACTTGAAAATTACAAGGAGTATCGTCAGTATCAAAACGTGGACAAGAATGTTCATGAGGACACTAAAATTACAAATATTAATTCAAGAGTATTATTTTTTATTTTAATAAATTTCATAAATATTTGTTAATTTACTGGTGAAACTACATGACATTGGGCATCCTGATTTAAATAAATATTTAAGAAAAGATCCCTAGCTTCATTAATAATTTCAAATCCAGCTCTTGTGCCCATTTCAATAAGTACAATATAGTTATTTGTTTTATTCCACAAGTTCAGTAGAGTTTCAAAACGAGTTCTCATGTCAGGTAGTTCAAATAAAGAATATGCAGAAACAACAATATCAAATTTTAACTGGCAACAAATAATTATTAAAATTTTTAATTATCTATATAAATAAAGATAATAATAATGCAAGTACTGTAGGTGATCCCGGTAAAAATTGTCTGTAGCATAAACCTTTAGGTAAAGCACTATCATTATTAAAATTTCCACCTTGTAAAATAAGTTTGGATAAATCGTTCATTTTAGATGATGTGTCAACACAGTAATATTCCTTTAATGAGTCACCCCATACATTTCTTGCATTCCTTTAAATTATTTTTCAGTTATATTAAAATAATTGAGCAATGAAAAAAAGGTATAGGAATATACATAGTTACAGTTCCAATTCCAGACCCAAAATCAAATAATGATTGTGGTTTAAAGTCTGGATCTCTCTCTTTTATTTCATTAAATAATAATTTTATAGCAGAATATTCTGGAGCTATTCTTGTTAAAAGATACTGATGACAAACATATTCATTATTGAAATCAATTGGTTTCCAACAATAGGTCTGTTGAGCTACTAATTTTTCTACACGGTTGTACAGGAATTTTTGAAATTTTTCTTTTTGTTGATCTGACATTTCATTAATATTATCTATATAAAACATTATAATAAAATTAAGTAATATTGTTCATGCATAGTAAAAAAAAAATTGAACAAAACATACATTTTTCTTCCAATTCAGTTTTTTTCTGCAATCTTTTTTTATTTTTTTCCTTTTGTTCTACTGGCATATGTCTACTATGTAAATAGTTCAATAATAATTGACCATCTTTTATTATACTTTTTATTTGTGAATCTAAGAAAATAACAAAGCACAAAGATTATTCATAAAAATTATTAATTTGATAAATTTATTTATATTAACCTTTTAAAGAATTAACAATAGATTTAACTAGATCATCAGGAAGAGGTTCAGCAATCCTTTGACACCGACCAGGGTGTTTTCTAGGCTTTAACTCATTACATGATAACTTTTGTTTGATAGTTTCATTCAAAATAGGTGCCAATTTTACTTTGGTTGAATACTAAAATGTTTAAACAATAAATTATAGTTTTAAATTTAAAAAAATTGATTACTTACACAAAGTTTTAATATAGTACAGCTAAACATATTGAACCAGATTAAAATTTATAAAATATATATGTATATGTTAAAATATTTACAATAATGTAATTTTGAAACTTTTTTGAACATTTTAGCCGCATCTGACACCTTATCATTATATTTCATACACTTATCCATGGTTATAAAAACTATGTCTATATAACCACAGATAAGTTTTATCTTATCTGTGATATAACTGTGCACTTAATTAATTGTTATCATGCTAAAACTGATATATCTGATATTTATTGACCTACTATTGGTCAATTTTAACTTTCCCTTTACATTAATATTTATACAAATAAATAAGAAGGAAGAAACGGCGGGATATTCAAGTGCCCCTTACACGATTAAAGGTTTATTATTTATAAGATTAGTTTTATCCTATAAACTTAGTAACTCTTGGTCTAATCATGAAATTTGCTGAACATTTGGCTGCACATATTACTCCAGAATGGAGAAAACAATACATAAGCTATGAAGTAGGTTATCTATAATTTTAATAATTAATGACTTAAAGGTAATATATGTTTAACATCAATTCAGGAAATGAAAGAGATGTTATATGCTGCTGTTGAACAAGTACCTGCATCTGACCAAGTAGACTCTGATTCTATTTCCCGGTATTATGCCAAATTTGACGAAAAGTTCTTTAGCTTTTGCGATAAGGAACTTGCCAAAATCAATACATTTTATTCAGGTTTCCTATGGAATTTATTATAGTGTTTGAATGTTTAAGACTGTTTTATTTAACTACTGTTGATATTTTGAAATTTTATATATGCATGATTTATTATTAAGATAATATTTGTATTAACCTTCTAAAATTACTATCATAATTTTTTAATTATCGTAGTATGAATTTTAATATACTGCACTGGTAATTTAAATTAGATTATTATGTTTTTGTATTTTATTTTATTTTGGTCTGTAGCACATAACACTATTGTGAAAAATAAGCAATAATCAAAATATTAAAATAGATTAAATTATTGATACTTATTAGACTTCTATTAATATATATATATATTTTAATAATTAGTTTTAGTACAAAAGTATATGTTTACTTGTAATGATAAATTAGATATGCTATAACTTTTTTTGATTATTAATATTATGGTTTTATGAAAATCCTAAAGTATGTATTGAAATATTCCCTTTAGTAATTGTTCAAAACAAAAAATATTTTAATAATATTTGACAATCCATCATCAGGAGTGATCTTTGGAATATTTCTTTGGTAGGTGTTAAATAAATTTTGGCAACTAGAAAACTTAACAGTAGACTTGAATGTGACTCAATAAAACAAAAATAATTAAAAACAAAAGTCTGAATTATTTTACAAAGTTATTATTACATAATTAAATAACATACAATGAAGTTAGTCTGCATCTTAAATATAACATTTCAAAAAAATGAACTGCCTAATAAACAAGTTGAAAGAAGCAGAGACAAAAATATTGAGGTGCAAACTTACCACACATAGTAACATTTTAGTATATTATAGAAAAAAATTGGTTACACTGATTTTCTTATCCATCCATATATATTTTTATATAATAATAAAAAAAATTTTCTTTAAATTGGAAAACTAAATCCCCCTTGTTTAAATCCCATTTATAGTAACTTTATACCTAGATGTTTTTCTGTTAAATCACTACAAATAAATAGCTTTTTTTTTGTTACAATATTATATTTAAAATATAAAGGATTGTATTTCTCTTTGAAGTCTTTTTTTTCAATGTTCAATGTTCTAAAGGAAATTTCTTGAAGATAAAATAACTTTTATTAAAAAAATATTATTTAACTAGTGGTAAAAAAAAATGGAAATTATATTTTTCAAATTTGTAGGGTAACAACTAAAATTTAACTATGTCATATTTCTAATATTAAAGAAAAGCCAACATAAAAATAAATAATAATTTAATAATAATGTTTTTTTTTTACAAAAAAAAAAACTAATATTTAAAATTTGTTTTCAGGAAAGTTTTTGTTGAGAAATATTGAAATGTATTAATAGATACGTTAATATTAAATCCTGACCATTTTTACCAAAAAAATTGATATTTAACTTAATAATATATTTTTTGGCAATGAAAATTATGTAGTATATTTATCTATAAAAAAAAAATATATAATAAATCAACAATATATTTTATAAAATCTAGATAACTTAAATTAAAATCATAAATTAATAGAGAAAGATATAATTGTTTACTATTTAATGTATTTCAAAAGCTATAATAATATGTATGCTTAATTTTTTTTTTTTAATTTAATGTTATTTTATAAAAGTTAAATATTATTATTCTATTTCAACATTTTATTATAATATAATAAAATTGAGAATCACATATTATATGCTTTTTGAGTTTTCAGATAATGTTTCAAAATTAGCATGTGTCTTTTAAAATCACTGAATTGTAATTTTTCAACTAATCACCGCCTTATTTTATGCATCTAAATATTATAAGTGTGAAATATTGATTTATTGATTAATGAACTCAATCTGTAAGATCTGTATTATAACAAACCAAAATATCAAATTGAGTTAGAAGCATAAATCCTTCTCTAAAAATAATACATATTTTTCAAATTTAATAATGGTCAAGTAGTAAATAACATTATAGTAATAAATATTTATTAAATAATTAAATTAATTATTAATTAAATTTTAAAAATATGTATTATGTGTTTTACAAAATTAAAATGCATGTAAAAAGATGGATTTTCCATTTTAATTATTTGTTTTTATATAAAAGAATTTTTTTTATAAAATTAAATTTTTAATTATTGTCCGAGTTATAACTGATTAGTATTTATACTTTTTCATTTATTTCAATTGAACTGGTAAGTATGAATTAATCCGGCTTGAATCAAATGAGGTTAGTATATGAGTACACAAAGAGCTTTTATTCCAAGTGCAAAGTCTTAATTAGAAGTTTCAAAGTTTTACATCGTTTAATTTTGTTTCTAAAAATAGTTATAAAATGATTATTTTTATACAAACATAAAAACAAATTAATAAAACTTTGTGTTACGAATATTTTCCAACAAAATGTTTAACCTTGAAAAAAAAAATCATTCTCTTCTATAGTGCATTCTTTAGTTCTGATAAATATAAATAAGTTATTTTTCAAGTTCATAAGTATTCATGAGTGGATATTGTAAGGGAAGAACTCGGGGACGTCTACAAACTTCAATAGTCCTCTCAAATTATGTAAGCCCTCTGATCGATTAAATTGTTCTAGCAGTTAAAAATTTTATCAGATGTCTGTCTATGACAATACTACACGCAGCATTGACTAGCAATTCAAATTTTGATATTTTGCGCTACGGTTATACATTAATTTTAAAATTTCTAAAATAATAACATTATTCCTAGATTACTTATTTACTATAGTAAAATATTAGATAAATATAAATTATGTATCTCGTTATATTTTAAAGGTTTTCTTTGTTAGAGTATTTTCCGAAAAAATATAATCTAGCGTTTGTAATTAGCTATCTAAACTTCCTACCTATGACGAACAGTTACAGTAACGGATCTATATTTTAAGAGTCCTAAATACAAACTATAAAATAAGTCCTTTTAAGGATAAAAAAATTAAAATTTAAAAATAAGTCATACAAAAAAACATGAAATTTTATAAACCCACCCAACCAAACCTATTATTATTTCTGACAGATATAAGAACTTAATTGATTTCAGTTTTTACCATATCTAGTAAATTAGTAGACCTATATCGAATTATTTTTCAAAAATATGTCAAGTTAATAATTTTAGAAACCTAATATATAAGAAATCGCTTTTAATCCAAATAAAAAATTTGATAATATAAATTTTTTCAATTTATATATTTTTTCCAGTTAATTTCAAGTATTAAACTTTTTAAAGTCAAATTTTAAATTCAATTAAGTTTTCAAAGGCGGTTTCATAGTATTTTTGGATTCTGTAGTCTTTTTTTCAACATGTACTAAAATAATTTGACATAAATGAACTAATTTATTAGGTATAATAAAATTTGCCATAAGTCTAAACTATTTCTGTTCCTAGTCCTCTTGTCTAATCAGAACTGTTCGCATTTCTAATAATTAGTAATTAGGTGCTTAATTCAATTTTCGACGCTTAATTATTTATCACTTAGATTTGTAACTTTTTTTTAATATTGCACGTTATTTTTATTCAAAAATGTTTGATGATCACTATTTTACTAACAGTTTTATATCATACATCAGATTTTTTAATAAGGGTAGAACGTTAATATTTTCCTTTAAATTGACACGACAGTTCTGATTTATTATCAATAAGAATTATCACAGTGTTATTCATTATTTTATTTCAAAAAATAATGTTAACAATTTTCAATTTAAAATAACTATTTTTAATATCATCATGTAAGTTTAAAAGCTAATGACATTTTTTAACACAATTTATTAGAAAATACACATAGATAATTACAATAAAATATTTATACTTCGCTACCTAACAGCAATAACATGTATCTGCAAATTTTTAGTTTTTATTTAATGATAACAAAATAATCAGAATTTGTTTATATAGGATTTATAAAACAGATGCAAATGGTTTACTAGTGGCATAGTTTAGACGACTTATTAAAATAGTTTCATTACTTTATTTCTTACAAGTTCAATTGATAGGAATATCAATTTTTGTAATTTAAATTTTGAAGCCAATAATTTTAATGTTAACTTTTTATTCTAAAATTTATTTATAATTGATTATCTATTTTAAATTATAAGTTTTATATGAGACAAACATTTTTTTTTTGGCTTTCCTATTTATTTATATTTTTGAAGATTTGTAACTGTATTTCGAGAGTATACACATTAACAGTTTTTTAAATTAATGTATACTCTAGAAAAATAATATTTATATCGAAGGGTATACATTCACAAATCAGCGTATACCTTAAGTAAAAATATATTTTTTTGCAAAAACATCACTTGAGATACATGTTGCTGCTGTTAAGATATCAATATATTTAAAAATAAAAAAAAAACACTTTGAAATATCATATGTAGATTTTAATGCGAGTAAACGAAATTTAGAGGCTACAAAATTAAAATCAATGTGGTTTTTAATACAGAAAAATTAGCTGAAGCCACACGAAAATTTGCAAATCTACAGAGTGATCTAAGGGAAGCCCAAGATGATAAAGTCAAGTCTAAAGATAGTGGAGGAAATCTTAAACCAGTCAAGCGAAAAATACTACGAAAAAATACTACAACAAAAAAAACCCAAGAACTCAAATTGGCTTTTAGTGAATTTTATTTGAGCTTGATACTTTTGCAAAATTATCAAAATTTAAACTATACTGGTTTTCGAAAAATTATGAAAAAACACGATAAGGTATATTTATAAATTTATAAATAAGTTAATTACACAGTCATTATTTTAATTTGCGTGATCTAAAAAAATAATAACTGTTATACAATTAACATCGTTTCTTTTAAAACTCGAGGTCATAATTTAACAAAAAAAATGACAGATCTAACTGTACCCTGCTGACCCCAACCGTTCTTAAGGGGTAAAAGATGCTCTGATTAATTGTTAAACAATAATCTATGCAGGTATTTATTATTAGTATACTCTGCAAAGTTAAACAAACAGTACAGTTGTTCAGATTTTATTATAAGGTATGTGCAAATCTGAGGTGCTTCTTTCTTCTCATTATCGTAATTTTGTAGCGATATGGGGTGCTAAATTGCTTTTTCCCTATTTAAAAAACATTTTTAAGTAGTAATACTAGGTTTTTAGGTTTTATTTAATAATTTAGGTTTTTCTGAATTTTTGTGGAGCGCTCAGTCCCTTGTACCATTATCCGCTTAAGAACTCCCAACTTAAAATGTATAGGATATGATCTTTTTCATGGAAACGTATGGAGAATAGAACCTACTATGACGAAAATAAATGTATCGTGAAATTTTGGACGGGGTGGTAAAAATTTCTTATGCCTATTTCCCCCCCAATACAAAATCCTGAGAACGTCTCTGGTTTATTATTTAATACATTTTTACCAATCAGAATTTTCAACTTATACTTTAACTATGAAAAGAACCTAAACTTAACCGGTACTTTAAAATAATTTTTTATAGAACCATAGCCGAACCCGATCCTGTAAGAAAACTATGGTTCCAGTCTCTGCTGTTAATGAAATCACATGATTTTGATGAATAACTTTTTTTTTATTCAGTTGGAATATTTAAATTTTCTTACATCTTTATCGGTAACAGAATTATACAAATATTTTCAGTTCTAAAAAATAATCGCCTGTATATCTTTAAACTATACTTAACCTTATGCTATAAACCTATAAATGCGAGTTGTGCGTGACAATTTTTTTTTTTTAAGTTACTTGGTTCCGATGGAGGTTCTGGTGCTCGGTGGAGATCAGAAGTTGTCGAGAATGCTCATTTTTACTGTAATAAGGATATCGATAGATTGATCAGCGAAACAGAAGCAACTGTTACACAAGGTTTGGAAGGTGGTGACAGACAAAGAGCCATGAAAAGACTGCGAGTACCGCCATTGGGCGAACAACAATCACCGTGGATCACATTTAAAGTCGGTTTATTTTCGGGTGCATTTGTTGTGATGTTATTGGCAGTAATTATAACTGGTAAGTCATAAATGATAGGTTTCTGAATAAATTCATTTTCAAGTGTACTAAAACTTTATTACTAGTTACAAAAATGAAATACTTAACCCGTTTGCATACGAGAGTAAAGCATTACATTTTTAATAACTTGTAAAGTATTACAGTAATTTGGCCAGACCCATGTCGACCCATTTATCTATCGTTATATAACATGTAAAAGCTATAGGGTTTACCATAGAATTTTTTAATCGACAGATTTCCATAATAAAAATTAATCAATTTTGTATTTTTAATAAACGGAAGTATTCCGTTTATTAAAGGAGTATTTTTTCTCGTTTAAACCCAACCCAACCAGCACAGGGGATCGCGGCACAGTGATGACGTGGCATAGTTGGATCAAATATAATGATACCTGACAGTGATTAAATCACTATAAAAAAAAACGCTTCGATGCAAATCTTAAGATAGTGTTTAATTTAAAAAAAATGATGGATTATTCCAAATGCTACATGATCTGCTAGTTCCTTATTAATATCCTGATTAAGATAAAGTATGTCAAATGAAAAAGGGATTATTAAAAAATATTTCTCATAAAAAAATTGTGTTGGTCCATACACTTTTCAATAAGCGTTATAATGTTAAAAATGTAAAAAATAAAATCGAGAATTTTCACATAAAAATAGCATTCGTAGCCATTTTCACCATAAAGACAAAATAAACTCCGAAATTTTTTTTTCCATAATAAAGTATATTACATAAGCTATAATTTAAGATATATATAAAAGTGTCAGACTTTCCGGAACACTTTCAACATTTAAGTTGAAAAAGTTATTATTTTAAAACCCCCCCTGTGAGCAGGTAAAGGGTCAATTTTATGAAAAATATATACCAAATGATCCATAAAAACATCAAGTATCTAAAAAAAAAATTATATTGATTCGGTCATTTTTCAAAAAGTTATGGCTGTTTTAAGTAAAAAAAATTGAACAAATTTCGAAAATTAGCGATTTTTAAATTTGTAATTTTTTTGGAGGTTTCCCCCACTTACGGGGAACGAGGGAAATTTTTTTTTTTAATTTTTGAGGGTATTGTCTTCGGCTTGATACGATTTGTGATATTTTGACGTATCATTGAAAGAAATGGGTTCGGTGAGAGCTGCGAAAAAGTGGTAACAGACACGTCATAGTAAAACCACTACCTTCTCAGCTTCGTATCGAAGCTAAAAGAAAAGATCATTTACATATACAAACCCAACCCAACCTTATTTTAGATAACTTTTGTTTTTTGTGAATCTTGCAATCCTAGTCAGTGGGGTTTTTTTTGGTAATTGAAGGCGTTAGTGTAAAAAACATATATGTAAACTATTTATGAAAATTCACTTTAATACATAATTTTATTGCTTTATGCATATGTGCAATAAATAGACTTACCCGATGAGTGTATTTATAACCGTAGGGTTAAAATAAAAATCTCTTTTGCTGACTTAAAGTACAAAAAAATTGTTTTTTGTGTCTCTTAAAAAGTTTATAAAGGAACCCGTCTATCTGGTTATTGCACTAGTGTCTTCAATTAGATAATTGAGGTTAAATCTACAAGCTTTTATACATCTTAAGATCATATTTCTAGTTAAATATAATATAATTTACTTAAAACTAAAATATTAGTTTTTTTTATGTTTAACTCTTTATTTGTATAGGAATAGCGCATGGTAACAGTGACACAGACTGGCGAGTAATGGTGCGGTTATATCGTGGACCTTTATTATTAGTCATATTCCTATTTCTAATAGGTATAAATGTATACTGCTGGCGTTCTTCCGGCGTGAACCATGTTCTTATTTTCGAATTAGACCCCAGGAATCACTTGACTGAACAACATATTATGGAACTAGCCACTGTTTTTGGTTTGGTTTGGGCAGGGTCCGCTTTGATATTTTTGTATAGTGAGGCATTACATATACCTCCATACATTAATCCATTGATTCTAGCTATTTTAATGATTGTGTTTTTATTTAACCCTACCAAGACGCTAAGACACGACGCTCGCTTTTGGGTCTTGCGAGTCATGGTAAGTTTACTCTTTGTATATGTTTTGAAAAGTAAAAATAATTTTTTTTTACAAAATTAATTAAATTTGGTGTGTGTATGTGTGCATGTACTAAATCATTCAAATAAAACCAGACGTGCATAAAGTGACTATATTTTGTCTCAGAACTCATTCCAATGAAGGAGTACTTTTTTTAAGCATTAACTATTCCTTTTGTAATATTTAGGTCCGAATAATATTTGCTCCGTTTTTTTATGTGGGCTTTGCGGATTTTTGGCTGGCGGATCAACTAACAAGTTTAGTTCCTGCACTATTAGATTTCCAGTATCTAGTATGTTTTTACCTTACCAATGATAAGTGGATGTCAAATAAAAGTAATTATCATTTACATGTAATGTAAACTTACTTAGAAAATTTGAATACCCGAATTTTTATTATAGTTAAAATAAAATTTACATAAATAATTTGTAAATTAATTATAATTTTTTTTTTATTAATTAAGTATTAGAATATAATTTTGCAGGTTTTAAGAGAGGGCCTATATATCCGAGTATACCCTTAAAAAAATTAATTATATCTTTTAATATTTAACTATGAGTTAGTAACCTTTTACATTAATAGGATTTACTGCCACATCGATGTATTTAGAAAAAAATAAATATAATTAAAATATAATAAAATATTCTAGTTTGAAATAAAAATAAATATTTTTTTGAACTATCTAGTAAATTTACTGTGTTAAAGACTTTTTTAGTAACCGTTTTGTTATTTAAAAAGATATCATATATAATTATTAAAATTGTTAGCATTGAAATATAGCACCTGTCTAGTAGGCGCGTGGGAATTCCTCGATAATCCTCTTAAATACTACACTGTTTCAATACAATATTTATGAAATATTTGCATTCATAAGATAAATAATAATGCAAAAGTATTTCTTATGGTTTGACGACATAATTTTCTCAAAAATATATCTAGTCCAATTTTTTTTTGTTTAACTGTCAAGAGAAATCTGTTTGGTGAAAATAACTACCAAAGAGATTAATAAACTTAAAGTATAATTAGTCACCTTTTATAAATTGTGCATACCAGTGATTAGATAATTGATTTATCGTAATATTTCAGTACAACTAGCCAATGTTTTTAATATTTTTTTTTGACAAATACGAAATGTCAGTTATTAGGGGCTTATTTTGATCGAGATAATTATGGCTTAGAACTTTATGCATTTATAAAACTTTTTGGACCACTTCTAAAATATCCAACTCCGTGAAAATTGATCATCGGTAACAAAATGATCAAAATTTGGTAATACGCAGATCTTTTCAGAAACTATTTATATTCTTTAATTTTCAAAAGTTTTTGATAAAAGGAACTAGATTTTTGTCACTGTGTATATAGTATAACAGTAAAATTTTTTGTTCTAGGAGTTAGTAATAACTAAATTCTTAAACAATATAGATTATTTAATGTTAAAAAAATAAATACAATTATCTGTTTATCATTAATGTACTTGGGATCGCTAAAACAAACTTTTATAAAGTTCCGAACCCTAGAGGTGATAAAAAATAAGTTTTTCTAATGAAAATATTCATGTTTTTGGCCGTTTCGATATTTTTTAATTTGTATACTGTGTAAATAGCATAAAAATTAACCTTTTTAAATTACAGCTATTGATATTGACGGTACCAAGTGTGTCGAACGGGTTTGGTTGTTGAGACCCATTGTTGCTTGTCTACCAGCGTGGTTCAGATTCATGCAGTGTCTAAGGCGATATAGAGACTCCCGTGAAGCATTTCCTCATCTTGCTAATGCTGCTAAATACGCCACTACATTTTTTGTTATAACATTTTCTTTCTTAAATCTCCAGTATTCAAGTAAAATAACGCTATCCAAAAATACAAATTATTGGTAAATTTTAAGCTAATGTCTGATATTTTAGAAAAGAATCCTGATGAAGATTCAAACGTTTTCTTTTATTTATGGATATGTGCATCAGTATTTAGTTCACTTTATTCGTATATTTGGGATATAAAAATGGATTGGGGGCTATTTGATCAAAATGCCGGAGAAAATAAATTTTTACGAGAAGAAATTGTTTATTCTTCTACGGTAAGTTACGACGCAAAAATATCGTGGGCTATTTATTTCAGTATATTATTTTGCTTTCTTGAAAAAAATTATTAAAAACAACCCAGAAAAGAATGTGCTTAATTTCATGTAATTTTTAAAAAATTTGTTGGAGGTTTCAAATAAATATTCTTTAGCCTGATAAAATTTACATTATGTTAGGTTAATATATGTACCCAACTTTTTTAATTACAATTTAATATAAAAAAATTGTATTTTTATAACATAAATATTAATTTTAAAAAATTAATATCAAAAACTTACCATTTATCAATCAGTAATATGTTAAAAGTTAAGTAGAAATTCAATTATAATTTTTAAAAATTTTCTTTTTTTTTGTTAATCAATTTTTATAAAAATCCAAGGATATATGAAAACAAATTTATAGAAAAATTAGAGTTAAATTAAATTAACTAATTTTATTTTTATACATAAAAAAATGGGTTTTCCAGTTTTTTCGTAAAATTTTTTTTTTCATTTTGGAGTTTATGCTAATTTATAAGCTTAAACCCTTCAATATAAATAGTAAAAAAATGTAATTTTCTAGGACCTTTATTATTTAAAAAAAATGTTAGTGGATAATCGCCTTATGTTGGTGTATACCCTCCAAAATAACGGTGTTCTTCAGTTTTATTTAAATAAGATTTTTTTTTTTCAAACTAAGGTAATATAACATTTGCCCGGGTTGTTTTAAATGTGTCTAAAATACTAAAAATTTAAAAGTTATCATTGGTCGTTGGAAAATTTTTAACTGTTTTCTCATATTAGCTTCGATATGAAGCTGAGAAGGTATTGGTTTTACTATTATGTGTTTTTTTTTTTTTGTGTCTGTTACCACTTTTTTTCAGCTCTCACCGAACAAATTTCTTTCAATGATACGTCAAAAGATCATAAATCGTATCAAGTCGAAGACATTAACCTCAAAAATTAAAAAAAAAATTACCCTCGTTCCCCGTAAATGGGGGAAACCTCCAAAAAAATTACAAATTTAAAAATCGCTAATTCTTTTAATTTTTTAAATTTAAAACTGCCATAACTTTCTTAAAAATGAACAAATCAATATAATTTTTTTTTTATACATACTTGATGTCTTTACCTATTATTTGGTATATACTTTTTATAAAACTGACCCTTTACCTGCCCACAGGGGAGGGTATTTGAAATGACAACTTTTTCACAAAAAATTAACTTTTTCAACTTGACTTTTGAAAATGTTGCGGAAAGACTGACACTTTTATATATATCTTAAATTAAAGCTAATGTAATATACTTTATCATGGAAAAAAGAATTTTGAATTTTATTTTGTCTTCACGATGAAAATGGCTACCAAATGCTATTTTTGTGTGAAAATTCTCGATTTTGTATTTTACATTTTTAACTTTATTATATTATAACTTTTTGAAAAGTATATGGATCAATAAAATTTTTTATGACAAATAATATTTATATCCCTTTTTCATTCGACATACTTTATCTTAATCAGGATATTAATAAGGAACTAGCAGATCATGTAAATTTTAGAATAATCCAGCAATATTTTAAAATTAAATACTATCTAAAGATTTGCATCGAAGCATTTTTTTTTTATAGTGATTTTAATCACTGTCAGATATCATTATACTTGATTCAACTATGCCACGTCACCACTGTGCCGCGACCCCCTATGCTGGGTTTTTTTTTTTTTATCAATCATTACAGCAGTTATAAAAGTAATATTTTGATTATTGTAAATGTTATCAGCTGTAATAATTGTTATTTCGTCTTTTAATCATGGTGTTAAGGTAGGATTTCATTGAGTTAACTTAAATTAAAATGATGTAATATTGATATTGTCAAAGTGATTTCTAGGAAAAATTATATATATTTACATAGCATAACCTTGTTTCACAACTAGAAAATTTTTCACTAAACTACTACTAACAGCTAATATCAAAAAAACATGTCTGTGAATTTTATCAAAAAAAAATTATTGGTCGCAATTTTAAAAATAAACTGACCAGCTGACCGTGGTGGCTTCATAAATATAATGTTGATTAAAGACAGATGATGGTCAAATACAAGTTCAGAACTGTAATCATGACCTTAAAAATGGATATTTAGTTAGATAACCTCAATAAAAACAACATCTTGACGTTACACTTAAGAAGATCAAAATCACTATAAATAAATATAAATATCTGTTCATTACGATGTTATAACATTCTTTAAACCTAAATAACTATTACTTCTTAATATAAATCATGCAATAAATGCTTATTTAGTATTTAAAAGAAACAATTATTATTATTGTTTTTTGTTACAAACTTGGATTTGAACTTGTGATTGTCGTTTAATAATTATTTAACCTCGGTTAAGCTGATCTGCGTGTGACCTTAATAATGAGTTATTAATATGTATTTTTTATATTGTTCATTTAATATTGTACATTTTATTGGGCGATACTAATTTAATTTAATTTATGTTATTTTATATTCATTCTATAGAATACGGTAATAATAATTTTCATTTCGCATATAATGAATTAGTTATGAAAAAACGTAAAAAAATATACGCATTAAATTTGTTTAAACTTGTGAAAACTGTTAACCTTTGAAGTTAAAACAATCAATTTTACTCGTTTTAATTATTAATGGGTATAGTTTCTCTTAAAACCTGTAAATTATAACACTCATTTTGAACTCATATTTTAATACATCAATTAAGTACTGGTTCTATCCATTATTTACAATTAGTATGATTAATAAAGCTAAAAGGCATGTAATATGAACAATCTAAATTTTAGGAATTACAAATAGATATTTCCATATAAAATCAATTAAATATGATATTTAAACATTTAAATCATCTTTCATTGTTCATATCTTTGAATTCACTCATCTGCTGATGATTTTCGACAATGTTCATTGCTAAGAAAATTAAAAAATGTATTTATATTAATTTGTTTTTATAGTGAGCTTATGTGACAAATTAAACCGAATAATTATATATGATTACGTTAATTTATGCTAAAATTATTTTTTAGGCTTTTTATTACATAGCAATTGTTGAAGATTTTATTTTGCGGTTTGGTTGGGCATTATCCATGTCTCTGACTGAAATGGGTTACGTTCATGGAGATTTGATGGTGTCAATTTTATCTCCTCTTGAAGTGATGAGGTAATAAGACGATTTTTTATTTAAAATATATTATTTAATTAGAATAATTGTTTAAAATACTATTGCGCAATACCATTAATTGTTCAACTCAATTTCTGGTTGTGAGAAAAATTTTAATGCAGTTAAAATATAATACATAGTGATTTCAAAATTATATTAACAATTAAATTTTCATTTGGAAAACCCTTTCTATTCCAAATGACTGGGTTAAGACATTGCTGGTCTCGGTGTCCAAATTTAAGTGAGACCTTTAAATTATGTAGACGTAATTTAAGATATGATATTGTCGTGTATTCAATTTAATAGTTTTACCAGTTAAGTGTAACTTTTTATAACGAAACACAAAACCTTTAATAAAAAAGTAGTTCTATTCATGTTCAACTTAACAAAAGACAGCTAATATGCAAAAGAATAGTCTGTATCAGTATAAGGTTATAACCACTAATACCAGTAAGAAGAGAACGAACTAGTCAACTCCAGTATTTCTGAGATCTACTTGTGGCAAGTTAGTCGGTTTATACCAGCAAGTATGAAGGAGTTAAATCCATTCTATTCAAAAAATGTTATGCCATTGTTACAACATCTTCTACACCTTGTTAGTGTCACAAAACATGAGAAAGTTATCTTTTATGGGGAGCATTTTAAAAGTATTAATTAAGATTAAATACATCAAAAAGTACAGTAAAATCAAACGCGAATTATATTCCCAATGAACAATGCAACATATTATAAAATGCAAAAAAAAATACGTAAAAAATCTATAGCACCTTCGGTGTCAACTGTTATCTAAAATACTCCCCCACATTCATTATTTTGCGTTCTTTTATACTAATGACCTAATTAATATTATAGACGAAATTTCTATTGCAAATTTTAGCTATGGGATTTATTTATTAATCAGCAAGTTATATTAAGAACAGTTATTATTTTGTTTTTTTATTTAAAGCCCTATTACACTATGATGGTATTTGATTTAACAAAAATCTCTTACCTCATTTTCATAAATTAATATCGATCAAATTTTTTTTTAAGAATCAACATTGTTTTCACTTGTCATCGTCGTTTTTAGATATTTTCTATTTAAAAATTAGCCTATGAATGTTTAAAAATCACATGAGTCAGAAGTTCAAACACTAATGAGGTGTATAATTTTCTAGTGGAATGAATATTTTACTAACGAATAAATCGAATGAATAATAACACCAAATACACGATTAATTTTAAATTAAAATATTGAATCTTAGTTTGAACAATTTTTGAGAATTTTAGTTGTGTCGTTTAGAAAACATAAGGCGTAAACAATAAATTGAATTGATGATGTTTTATTTAAATTCTGACTTCTTATATTATCTTATAATATTTTAATTACCTGACATTCGTCTATAAGAGTGACACTCGTTTCTAAGTTTTATGCTTAATTGATAAATGGTATTATGTATAGATTTCATATGATTCCAGGAGATTTGTATGGAATTTTTTCCGTTTAGAAAACGAACATTTGAATAATTGCGGTCGATTTCGAGCTGTAAGGGATATTTCTGTGGCTCCCATAGACAGCTCAGACCAGACTCACATACTACGTTTAATGGATCTACCAACAGTTCCTCATGACTTAAACAGGAATAGAAGAGTAAAAACTGGTGGCGGAATAGGAAGGAAAATACCGAATCTTACGTTTCAACCTAGCCGTTCTGCCGATGAACAAGCCTCATTGATTTTGGCTAGTCTAGGCACGCGATGAATCTCAACACATCCTACAAATAGAATCAAGTAGGATATTTACAAATTCACACTTTTTAAATAACGAATTTCAGAGAAAAATGTATTTGTACATTTCTTGAAGCTTTAAAATATCTTTTTTTTTTAAAGATTAGTAATTATAACATTCTTGGGTCATTATTTTTATTTTTTGAACAAATTTTTAATTGATTATAAAAACGTCAAAAATATATCTCCATCATATTACATTTTATTAGTGTGAAGAATATTGATAAATAATAATATATATAAATGTTGAATTTATAAAAAATTTTAATTGTGATTGAAAGATATTAAATTTAAAATAGAAAATGGTTAGAAATCAAATTTAATATATTATTTTAAATTGAAGTATATTTAAATTAAATTTTTATTCGAATTATAATAGTTCATAAAATTATTAAACGTTTCAAATTGTTTGGCTTATATTAACTTATAATTAACTTAAATACAATAATTCTATCTAATTAAATCCTTTAATTTTTTTATTAAAGACATTCACTAGAGAACTATAGAATTATGAAAATTAAAAATATAATCTGAGTAGATTAATGTCATTAGTACAAAATACAGTATAAAATTATTTTCACCAATATCATTTATACCCACTTAAGTTACCTACTATATCAAAAATTTATCTGATCTATATATTTTAGCCTTACTAAAATATTGGGTTTTATTTTTAAATATCCTTTATTATGAAATATATCACTTTACCAAAATTATTTACTTTGATAATCATTTATCTTTTGATAAATTTGAAATCCCATAATATAATTGTCATTTATCATATTTGCTAAATTATATCTAACCATGTCGTTTTTTTAAATATAAATAAACAGTATTAATGATCTCAAATGAAAATAATGTAATATAAAATTATATGATTATGGTGAGCATAACATATTAAAATATAAATTAATGTAGTTCAATTTATTTATTTATTTAGCACTATTATTATATTTTGTTATATATTATTTTTTTTTAAACTTATTTACAAAAAATTATTTAACTATAAATTTATTAATTTTATTGTAAATATTTAATGTTTACTTTTATTAAACATTTTATAATGCGTATTACTTAGATTAAAATATTAATAACGGAACACTTGTTAATAGTTTTATTTAGATGCTATTTAAAATTAATTAAAATGTATTCAAGACTATAACACGACTTTATAATTTTGAAGTATAATTTTTAACCTTTTAACGATTATTATTAATATAATGTTAACTATATTTTATTATTTTTTTGTATTTTGTTCGAGCACCTTATCGAAAACTGCGAATGTGTTGAACAAATTCAGTTAAAAAATGATATGACAATAATTTTAACTTGATATTATATAAATAATTATTTAGTCAGTTATTCTTTATTATGAATAGTCATTGTAGTATAATAAGTTACAATCATCACTAATATTTTTGTTCAAATCAGTGTTTTCTAAAAAAATATTTTTAAAACATAAAATAACAATTTAAAAAGTTTAAACGTTTCATAAGACTAATATAATTTTTGGCGTTTTAAACTAGCAGAGTTTAAAAACAATAACCATTTTTCAAAAAATTAAAAATTGAAGACAATATAATATTACTAATTAAGTATTAATTGAAGCATCTTTACATTAAATTTTTCAACACATAAAATAACTTAGTTCATCTTGTTTACCTAAACTTAATTATCAACGAGACAAATTAATTAAACTTGATTGATTTGAAATAGCGCCGACACGATTTAAATATTAAACAAAATGTTGCTTTGAACTCAAGATAACATATATCAGTTTGATTCTTGATATTTATGTCTATACCTTTTTATAAGGTCGACTTTTTTTATTTGAACATTCTTTTGTTGGAAATTTTATGGATTGTCTACAATGCTTATTTGAATCTAACAATTTAATTAGATTCAATCGTGGTGAAAGGAAAAGTAGAAAAATATAGTTTTATATCAAAAGTTAATTAAAAAAATAAAAAAAAAATTTTAGATGTATTAATTTAATTACTATGTTTTTTTTATGGCTGTACAAATAAATACCTAATTAAATAAAATCGATATTCTAGACCCGATTTTGTTCAGTTATAAATTAAAAGATCACAAAATTTATATGATTCGATCTATAATATTCTGGTCCTAGTTAAATTTTAAATTAAAGCCTATTTAAAAGTTCCATTAATATTTTGTGTGAATTAAATGCCATTACGAATATTGGTTTTTATAAAATAGTGTTAAAAACAATTCATTATCAATAAATATATCTTAAAATACCAATAGAGTTAGTGGTGTAACCAAGAGGAAGGGACCCCGGGTCCAGATCTCCCTTGAAGTGTCTAAAGGGGAAAATTGTGTAAGGTAATTTTAAGTATTGTGTAATTATATTTTACAGGAAAAATTATTTATTCAGTTTAGTAACACAAATAATTGTAATACAATCATTTTTGCTTGTAATACAATCATTCCTGCTTTACAGCAAATAAAAAATGACATCACATATATTTTTGTTTCCTTACAGTTTATACTTGTTATTATAACGCACAGTTATTAATTAACATTTAACGTATTTTAAGTATCGTTTGAGCTTTATATTTATAATTTTATTTCACATTATATATTTTATAATTTATGTGATAACATAAATTATAAAAACCTTTAAATTAATTTTTTGCATAAAAATTATGTAAATAATACATTTTATTATTTAAATAGATCTATAAGTCAAATTTTTCGTAATATAATACTGTATTATATTATTAGTATCTCAAGAGATACTTCTAGCTGTGCTAATGTATAGAGCAATTTTACGTTTTTTTAGGTATCTATTTGAAAAAGAGTTTTAAATTTTATTAAATTTAATTTTTAAAGTAGATTTAGATTTGATATGTCAACATTTCTGTCGATGACTTGTTTAAATTTCGTTACTCAATTGTTGTCCTTAACATAATTACTGTAAAGATAACGTTTGTGAAACACATACACACGTACATACAATTTGATAAATTGTTAAAATAGTCATTGTTTGAATTAATCATGATCAGCATTATAAATAGATCTAAATTGTTATACTTACATTATTATTATGTGAGTAAATCTATGAAAAAGAGAACACCTTAAGTTCAACATACTCAAGAAGATACCCTATAAATGATTTATTAAAAAACTGTCACACTTAATCACTATTGAATCTTAAATTGTCTCTTATGTTATGGATATTAATAGGGTGAAGTTTGGTAAAAGTATACAAATGGGGTAATTGTGCGTTCATTTTTTTTAATAGAATATTTAGAAGATTTTGCTTTAGATAGAGAACTTATGGTCCTTATATGTGTTACTATCATAATAAATGTAAGTACCAAATAAAAATTAGTATATTCATTACAAAAAATGCATTTATAATTGCCGTACATCACTTTACAAGATAAAAAATTACAAAAAATAAAAATATGGACCATATAAAATATTATACTATATTCATAACATCAAATTGATCATTCTAATTAATTTCATAAATTGTGGTATAAGTGTTTGTGTAAATTTGATTTTGTTGCTTTTTAGTTCCTGCTCGATCAACGTTAAATATTACAAATGATAATGTGCGTTTTTTTTTAGTTAGTGAAACATACATAGGATTTCTTACGTTATTAAACATAATAATGAAAATATTCGTGATGAAAATAAATATATGATAAAGAATTCTCCTAAGAAACATGAGTTAATAAAATATTTCAAACTACTAAGTAACTATTGAATGAGTTGTTGGTAAATATTTGAAATTTAAATAAATTATGGAACATAAACACTCATATTTAACTTAAAAACATCCAAGTTATGTTATTTAATTCATAAATATTAATAATTATTAATTTTTATTAATATCTAATTAAATTATTAGAATTTTCTAAGTATTAATGAAACATAAAAATTCAAATTTAAAGATATTTAAAATTAGCTAGATAATTAGTAAAATAGAACTACGAGGTTAAATAATAATAGCTTTAGAGATTGCGCATTTCGACTGCGTAATATATCTACATCAACATACGATGACAATCATTGTACAATATTAGATGTTCATTTAAAATTCTGCAGCTCATCCAAATTCAAGTATTTCATTAGCTAATCATGGATTACAATGGTTTGTGTTATTAAGAAACTTACTCCCCTCTTATAAGGTTTGACTGACATTTAATACTTGTTGGAATAACACATTCTATTGTTTTGTCATCGTTTCATTGTTGGCACTACTTAGATTATTATAATAATAGTATTTTTATGAACTTTGGGATAAATTAAAAAATAAATATTATTAGTGTACCTGAAGTTTCCAAAATAATCAAGGAAAACGAATAAATTGTTTAATCAATAATAAATGTTATATTTAATAACGAGTTACTACTAAGCTGAAATGATAATAAGACAAATAAATAATAATTTAAAAAAAAACGAAAAGTACAACTAATAAATATTCTGATGTATGTTATAAATTGCTTATAATTGTAAATAATATTAATTTTTAAAACTAAAAATGAAAATTATATACAAGAAAAATAAAATAATTAATATAAACACGTAATTTAATTATCTACGAATTACGTTTTATCTTTTATTATGTGATCAAACCTCTTTATGAACATAATTACTTGATTCAGTTGCTATCTCAAATTGTGAGTACTTATATTTACTAATCGTCAAACAATGATTTAGGAAAATTCTTTGATAAAACGTTAAAATACTTTAACAATCTTGCCACTTTTTGTCTTATCAAAAAGAAAAGTGAACAAAAAATATTTGTATAATTATTATAAGATATTTTTAGATAAATAGTCATGGCTTAAATTGAACCACCTAAATATTTCCTTGTAGTGTATTACTAAAAAAACAGCTTGTATCAATGGAATACATTTTCTTATTAATCACATAATGGATGATTTTACATAGAATATAGGAAGAATTTAAAAAAAATGATTTAACCCTTCACAAATTTTTGGTCAGATATTAAAAATGAAAGATCTCCATAGATTCCTCATTGCTTAAATTACAATAGACTCTAAAGAAAATAAGATTTTCAGTTTAAATGTTAAAATAACGTTTTATAGGTTTTTTTATAATTTCAACTATTTTCCCTAACGTCTTTTATTTAAGAATATTATTGAATATAACTTAAAAACTATACAACTTTTATTTTAAACCCTTAATTTTTTAAATATTTTTAAAAGATAGGATTATATTTTAAAACAAAT